ATAATTTAAAACGTATTTCTAGTTTGTATGACTTAAAACTTTTAACAGATTATACAGGTCGTTTTCGAAAATCTTTACTATTATACATACATATGTATTTGCCTATATGAAAACGGAACAAAATGACAAGAGCAGACGACAACGTATGATTATATATCCTGTGAAAGACTGTGATTAATAATAAAACAATTTCAAGAAATTTCTATTATGAAATCAAGACACAGTCAATCTATGTCTAATGCATATACGTAGGTCCACAAAATTAACGCAATATCTCACTTAAACGTTGAACAGTAACATTGTAACAAGACATTTAAACGTCGGGTCAGTCAAATTGCCACTTCTTGATTACAATTAACTGGCAGCTGTAAGTCATGGCCGGCAGCAGAGCAAGGAACATCATATGAATTTAGGGCGAATGCTTCGGTCTGTAATATTCATGATTGCAAAATCTGTGTGATATATTACGTTAATATTGCAATCAGTGCAACAGAACCACTTGAATACCACTGACAAATAAGTTTTTATATACAATTATTCATTCATCAATACATTTTAATAGCAACTTATTTTAAGTATCTATTTACGGCATAAAAAGTATATAGAAATCATTCCTACCCTAAAATATTACATTTGTTCAAAATTATTATAGTTTTAAAATAAATAGTACCTATTAAAAGACAATCTTTATAATTTGTAATCTACTTGAAAATTACCATTAAATTTTATTTACACGATATATGGAAATGTAAACATTGAGAGCACGAGTATGTAACAATACACGTGATAATGAAAAATGTTGTTAATCCCTGAAACAATACAGGAAACCTAACGTAATCCTATCATGGATGCGGATCGCATCCGGCAGTAAATAATCAAATCAGTTTGATTTATTAGCTCAAGCTTGGTATGCTTATTAAACTGTGCATCAGGACATCGATTAAATTCTATGCACAAGTAATATCTCCTAATTACACCGACTTCCCTTTACGTATTCCGTTTAGACGTCCATTCAAGACACTTTAGACTTAAGACGGTTAAATCAAGATATATATCATAGATATTTCTGTGGAATTTTTAATTTAGAGAAATAAATATTCTGCTTAGCTTGATTAATAATAATTATAAGTATTAAGTAAATTTAAAAGTCGATTAAAGACTCGATGAAGAATTGTATAACACAAAACAATATAATAAGACAATAAGCAATTTCTAAGAATTGGCAACATACACAACGAAGAATATTGTGTACTTTTTTCTTTGTCTATTCCAGTCACAACTTATAATGGCTCCTGCTTTAATACATACGTAAAAATATAACAAAATTAAAACAGTTGTGGTTGTGTGTGTAACAGAATTAGCCATGACGTTTGCGTACAAGGACGAAATGAACTGAAAGTCTGCAAAGGTGACAGGAAGTGTGCAACGGAGCGGCGCAAGCTGACTCAGGATGTGATACCATTGGAACTCGTTGGCTTCTCGATCTTTCATTTATAAGAATAATAAACAACTCTAACAATTAATAAGCAAAAGCTTTAATATTTAAACAGCCTTTTCAACCTCAGTGTTTCTCCCTAGGCCATCTAAGTCCTTTTATTTTAATCAATGTTTATCCAATCAGAAGTCTGTCCAAAATCAAAATGTACTTCTTTATCTCTTAAAAAGTTACGTCGTTAATTTTTGTCAACAAGTCTATAAATGATGTAGCCTGTCCAAAGCCACTTCAGCTACATTAATTCAGGAGTAGGCTATATTTGTTCGTCTAATGATTTCCTCCTTGCGGATTATACAACGTAGAACCAAGTCTATTTCGAATAACTCCACAGCTCGTTAAGGTACTTCAAAGTTATGTAGCTGGATTATGATAGAGAATAACATATGTATTTCACAAATATAATCAACGTCAACCCACGTTGAATACTTTCGACATCGGATACAATTTATCTCCATCGGATTGTATTCCACGAATTATCTCCATTTCAAAGTTTACTACTTTTACGAGTCATTTGTTCTAGATAAACAATAACAACAAATCTTAGATCTGTACCACCCACACTATACAGAATCAACATGATTTCCGTCTTATTTTATGAATCTTTTATAATTGTCACACTGGTAGACTATTTGGGGCTTACCCATTTATATTTTTATATTGCGGGAACAACTTTCCTACTTATTAGCTTTAACAAATCTTCCGGAAAAGAAGCAAAATGTTTTAAAGTCAAAATAGCTCCACTTTAACATTTGGTTCAAACGTCTGATATGTATTCGGACGTAGATAAGGCATTAAAAAGACTTGACCGTAATTCAAGTCTCAATAGAATTAAAGGCTTCCTCAAAGGACTTATATAAAACGAAATAGCGGTTCCACTTTGTATATCATATTTTTTTATTCACATCTACTCATAGTAGGAATATGCATTTTAAAAAATAAGTGCGTTTGGACATAAAAAAAATAATTTTAATCACATTTGAGAACACCGAATAAAAAATAGTTGTAAAAAAAAATTTAACGTTCTTATGTAGGTACTAGAAAAGGGGAGAAAATACTGTAAATAAAATGCAGTTTTACCTAAGTGCTAGTGAAATAATTAAGTTACAGTTAGGATGTCACCCTTGGGAAGATGTTATTTATATGATAAAAGGATGGAAAAGAGCTTTTGACCGTCGTCTATGAGAAATTCCGATTTTCAAAGTCAAGACAAAAAGAATAATAGTTATACCAGAATCTATAATAGGATCGTACTATCTTGCGAACCAACCTATATACTACACTTGGGATCAGTTCATTACAGCTGGGCTTAACCTTTTTTATCTTTTTCTATTTACAATCGCAATTGTTTTACTACGTGACATTTCTTTTACATTTCGGCAGTCCAAGAGTAGAGGTAGCACGGTCGCGAGTAAGCGATTTGGCACATTGCGCTCAGAGCGAGGCGAGCCGCGATATAATTACGTACCTACGAAATGTGAGCTCCCGTTTAAATCTTGCACTGCTTAAATTTTGAAACGAACATCACTGGGCTGCATTAATTTAATTTCCACTGTTGTTATACATACACCGGTTTTAATTTTGAACGTAGAAATCTAGAATTTTGACAAGTACGTTATGTAAATGTGAAATGATGTTTATTTAATGTTTGCCTGTTACGATGAACTCATCATGTTTATACAGTTATGTAATTCACTTATAAAATATTTCTGTATTTACACATCATATTAAATATAAAGTCATAATTCGTTTTACATTATTTACATCTGTACTTCAAGCACAAAGTATCAACTCATGAATCTCTCCTTTACAACTGATAGAGCAGTCCATATATCTCCGAAATATCTTTACAAAAGTACGTATGTACATTAAATAGACTGTAACAACAGCCATCAATTCTTATAAGAAAGCCAAATATTTTTATCTACCCTTCCCATTCATTTTCAATATGATCCTAAAACCGTCGGTGAGGTTACGTAGATACAGTAAATCACCTAAAAGTGGTTGGAAGTACTCAGTAAAAAATAGGTTAGAAGTACCCTTTATATTCTTGCATTAGGTGGAGCACTCCATCGCCGACCGCATTAGACTACCAAAGCTGAACAATTTAATGACTATTGACTATTCATACCACATTCAAGTGGTTGACCGCTTTGCTTCACTTGATTTAAAGTCTAATTATAGCGAGATCTCAGCCGTAACAGGAGTCGGTAATAAGAACGAGGCGACGCAGCGGAGAGGGCGGGATGCAAAATGTTGCAATTGCATTCCCTCCATCAGAAAAACAGCTTACACTGGCAAAAATAATTAAGAGCATTAGTCTAGTCGGGATGCGGAGTGTCGCGCAGTAAATAGTCTGCTAAATACCCATCTACATTTATTGGTGCAGGGACTCCGCGAAGGCCAGTGTAACGGAGAAAACAATTCTGTATTTTAGAATACTGTATTGCAAATTAAACATTTTATACTTATAAAAAAGACTACATAGTTTTATTCAGTTTGTGTAAAGCCCCTATTTACATAGTTCTATCATTATAACTTATTTAATATTTTAAAATAAAATATGTACATACCTATCTCAGATTAATGTTACTCTATCAAAACAAATATTTATCACATAAATTTTGCACCAAAAATAGCTAATACAAGAAAACTTTCACAGTTAAAGAAATTGAAAAATAGTCTTTACGGTGAGAGAGCTGCATGTAACAATTATTTTACTTCAACACACGTACGATAAATTGACTGACTTCGTGGCGACGTACATACTCGTACCTCCTAAGTCTCTTACGCCTTGTTGACAAGTATATAGTAGTCACAGGTTCCCGGGTGCGATTCCAGTATAGAAAAGTAAAACCCTTCTGACACCAATTCCAAATGCATCATTTGTTCCCTGTCAGCGAGTCACTTGACGACGGTTTTTGTCCCCAAATGGAAAAAAGTAATCCTCCAATTAAATCGAACCACTACCCGTAAAATTGTTTATCGTTTGATAAAAGATTCGTATTCGTTTCCATTACGTAAGAAACGAGAAAACATTCATCCTTCATCCTTTGAAATACTGATCCTTTCCCGGCACATTATCATATGTAACTTTAACTTCACTCATTAGCCTTTGCTCTTTGCAATTGCATTCACAAGACTCTCTCTGTGGCTTTTTAAATAGTACAAAAGAAATATACTTCATTTTAAAGAACATAATGCAGGAACATGAGTAGGTATTTATTGTATTTACATTTACTGAGAGATAAGATCTATATAAGGTTGAATAGCAAGCTTTCAATATCGCTGGCGAGATTCAATGGAAATAGAAATATAAAAATTTACTTTAAAACTTGGAAAAACCACCTTACAGCACACTAGAATGTTAATAGTGCTGACCTAATGTTCGTCTTACCTTAAAAAGACCGGTTGATTCTACATCCGATGTATAAAACGATTTGTCGTTTGATGTGGCCTTTTTTTATTTAGTCGGCGATTTATCAAGTCGTGAGAAACGTGTGTCAAGTTATCCGGACTGAGTTACACGACAATAGCTGTGGGATCCAGGGGAAAGATCTGCCACCGCGTCAGCAAACCCGTTCAATTTCTGGAAATTATCCAATTAAGGAATTCTGATTTGATTCCTCACTATAGATGTTAATAGAGATACGTTTATTTTTTAATTATAAAACTTAATACTTCGTTATTTTTAATTGTTTATTATTGCTAATGCTTTATTGGATTATTTGGAAAATTTTGTAGGAAGTTGAAATATAACATGGAGTAAAAATTTTAGAGTAGGTGTTATTATTACAAGTTTAAAAGCAATTTTATCTCCTTGTTTGAATATAATAAATATAAAGATAAAGCTCAAAGTAATTTCAAGAAATGTATTACACTTAGATTATTTTATATTTTGGGAACCCTAATTTATTGACTGAATATACACTTAAATCGAATAATTCCCTATTAAGACTTCAAAAAAAAAAAATTTTTATAAACACAATTTATATATATCAAAGGAAGTGTTTCCTTTTCTTAGTATTGTTAGATGTGAAACCCATAATGATAGTTTGTATGTATGTCTAATACGACATCATTAACTCGAGTACATCATGAAGACGTAGATCTCTGGCGACCGCCCAACCCTTGAAGCCGCGCGACACAAAGTGATCGCGCGTTTACCGCCTTCATTTGGCAATCTTTCGCTGCATAATGCGCCTTCAATCCAAGTTACTGTTCAGCTCTTTACATTACTTAACATCGGGATTTATGTATCAGAAAATAGCCTTTATATCTCTGACAGGATCACTGCTACAGCTACTACTGTTTCAAGACTTTCAAATTGGTATTTTATTTTGCATATATCAAAAGTATATCGCCCTAAAATGCACGGAACATTCTGTTGACGTTCGTTTGTGATATCTTAGATGTATTCTCATGTTCTATGTTTAGTTTATATTAAACAGTATTTATATTCCAATTGTCGGAAACAAAGTGTCTTCAGCACTACTTTTAATAGGCTTTAAATATAAATTGACATCCATATGCAGTTTTGTGACAAATTTCTTCAATTTTATGGCATCAAAATTTCCATTTTCGTCTGAGTCTAATCATAGAGTTTCATCAAGTTTGAATAATGAAGAGAAATTAATAATTCAATTTCGTATTAAAGTAAGAAAATATAATAAATAAAACCATTCAGATACAAGATGTTAAAAATTTCAGATATAAGATGTTAAAAATTAAAAATAATAATATTTTAATCAAACTAAATTTATAACTAACTATAATAGCATACTATTATGAAGTTATAGAGACTCATAAGTCTCTATAGCTTCATCATACTCAAAAGAATTGTTACCATTGGTATTGCTAGTTTGAATTATAAATATATGATATATGTAACATAGCAAAAAAAGTAACTAATAAAAAGGTATTCTCCATTGACCTAATCGTAATATGAGAAAAAGGGGAAATAAAAAAAATATTTAACATATATTGCATTTATTACCAAATAAATAAGTAACTCTAGTAACAATAAGTAATTGTCAATCTCATTTGGAATGTCAAATCAACTATAAACATTCAAAAGTCAAATTAACTAGAAACAACGAGAATAAGTAACAGACTACCCACATTTTGTTATTATAATTAATATATATAATTTAAATATTTTTATTATAATAATTTATTTAATACTATTAATTATATTGATTCTATACTGACTTTGAATATTTTATCATAGCCCAACAATGGATTTGCAAAACACAAATAAGTTTACACTGTAATGAAAACGTAATATTCTAAATAATATTAGTATCTGTGAATATGGAATGAGACTGTTGACATATTTACTCTCGTCTAAATATAAATAACTTACTCTACATACTGTATACATAAATGGCAGATGGACATTTTGACACACTAGAATACATATAACTAATATTAGATAATTTTTGAAAATACAGATTTTTAAAAATTTGTTACCATAATATTAATTGTTTCAAATAGTTCAAAATTTTAACTTCACCAAGAGAAGATTAATTCAGACAAAATTCGATAAATATCAAAAATAATTTTATGAAATGTGTAAAATATATACTTTAAAGTATTAAGGTACAAAATATCACAATGGAGACTAAAGATTGGAACTAGCTAAAAAACATTCTAACAAGCCAAAATGTGCTTTATTACAAATACGAATAATATCAAAATGGCATCAAAGATTTTTTTTATTTCACATACAAACATTATCTACAGGCACGATGTTCAGTATTCTATGCACAATATAGTTTTGTATAACAGTTTGTTATAAACTTATATCTGAATGAGATATTTTAGTAAAAAAGAGTTAGCGATTTCATACTTTTACTTCGATCCAGTATTCTTGAGTAAGAATTATAAATGTTTTCGTTCAGTATTGAAGACAAACTAGTGTTGGCTTCATTGTATGTACCTGACTAAATACTAATAATAAATACACCAAAATAGGTGACATTAATAATTTTCTTGGTTGGGCCCATATTGGTAGGAGGACTCATACTTTGAATTTTAAAAGATATCTTGGTGGGAGAACTCATACTTTATAAGATATCTTGGTAGTATGAGCTCCACTTCAAAAAATATCTTGAAATTTGACCCAATAGTTATGTCTTCTTGGTAGGAGGGTTGCTACTCTTAAGAATTTCATGGTAGCGGATCCAATAATTTATATATTAACTGATTTCTTGGTAGAGGGAACGCGAGGAGAGTTTGAGTACAACGTCTTGAACATATCCCGAATGTTGTTGTCCGGAAACAGGTTTGTCAGTGTTACTGTAACAATATTTGAAAAACACATTAATATTGTATTGAGAAATTAATAAAAGAATTATGCTAATACAATAAAATCCCTACTAATATTATAAATGCGAAAGTAACTCTGTCTGTCTGTAACGCTTTTACCCCTAAACTACTGACATGAAATTAATGAAATTTGGTACAGAGATAGAGTTGACCTTGAGAAAGAACATAGGATAGTCTTTATTCCAGACTTTTGAAAGGTTCTCTTGGAAACGCGATATAAATGAACTCCACGCGGGCGAAGCTGCGGGCAGAAAGCTAGTACTTTATAAAAATAACAATTACATAGCCTTTGACGTTTTATAGCCCTCTTAGATACCTTTGCAGAAAATTGACAATTCTAAAATGTCTATCTAGTACGAATCTTTTTTGGCTAAGGTTTTATTATTAAGGAGTATAATAAAAAAAATATAACGAAACTAAAAAAATATTTTAAATATGTAATAATTTTCATTATTATCTGTCATCATCCTACCTTCAAGTAGAACGAAAAGGAGTCGTTTGTTAATCTCTTGAGTCTGAAATAGATCGAACACAGTGAGCAGGCCTCTCCTGGCCGCGTCTGTACCGACTATATGACGGAGGTCATCTGAAAATACGTAAAATTATCATCATTAACACATCCCAAGGGACATTACGGTCCCTTGGGAAACCAACATCCCCAAAGACCATACCATCAAGGTCAACAAATATTACGAGCTCACAAACGAACTCACTCGAAATAGGTTCGTAGTAGATTTGTACGCGGTAGAGGTGGGAGCGAGAGGTATAACAGCGAAATCTCTCTATAACCTACTAAAGGACTTGGGCTTGTCCAGAACTCATATTAATGCATTCTTGGAACGTACATCGAAGGCAGCCCTAGTAGGTTCTTTTCAAATTTGGTTAGGTAGGGAGAGGAGCTTGGACAGTGGAGGTGAGCGTATAACGCGCGTTAGTTAAGGGGCCCCTTAAACCTACACTTGGGTCGCAAGTCCCAGGCACTGTTGAAGCTCCTCCCCCTGCAACGCGATGGACCCGGCACCCGCACGGTGAATCCAATGAATGCTGAGAAGTTTCGTCTTATAAAGAATTCAAGGTCAAATTACGGTCTCCAGAAGACCTTTAATTATTCTTCATTTCCGAATCTTAAAAACTTTAATAGGCTCGTCAATAATTTTTTTTGATGAATTACTAAAACTTTTAAATATGCAATATATCTTTTTTCGTCTTTATTAAATGAGTTATTTATTCTATTCGATATGAACTTAAACTGAAAATTTAACTCAAATAAGAGTTCACATGCTATTAGCTAGCCAAATATGGCGAATGAGCTATCAGTTATAATGCGTTTGCGTCGATAAATAAAAATTTTCAACTATTGATATAAAATATCTCAATTACGACATTACAAACAAAAAAACTTAACAAACAGACAATAAAACATTTATTCTGAAATTTAAAATGTTACCTCCTTTTTAATAGAACATTGTTCTTAAAACTATTAAATATTTATTTATATTTGAAATATCGCTCAAAAGTGAACGCATCAAACGTTATAATAATTCAAAATATATCTGATATTGAATGCAATATTATAAAAACACACAAATTTAGCGCGGGACCACACAATAGCGGGGTCCGTATCGCATTGATAAAACCAGAACATTTGGACATCGGCCAAATTAAGAATCGCGTAACTCAGACCGTGCATTAAACCTCCAAATTATATTAAATTTTAATAATATCGTGATTTTTATAAACATAAATTGTATTCATTTTATACGGTCAATTATGAACGATTCAATAAAAAAATTACAAAAAGAGAACGTTAAATATATATCTTTGGATATATGTCTTGGGTTAAAAATATTAGTAAGTGACTATTTAATCATTATTACATTATTAAATGAGCACGTTTACATACTAAATATGTAATAATAAAGCTATTGACTTAGAATATAAGAAATTATCCTACTAATATTATAATTGCGAAAGTTTGTGAGTGTGTGTGTATGTTTGTTACTTCTTCACGCTCAAACGGCTGAACCGATTTTGATAAAATTTTGCATACAGTAAGCTGACATCCAGGAATAACACATAGGCATCCCGGAAATCCGCGGGTAACAACGCGGGGCGCAGCTAGTGTTATACATACCTGAAGCAGCTGATAGTAATGCAACTTTAGCAGCTACCCTCGTCCTCGCCTTTGTAGCCTGATCTCTGGAGACAGCACTCGGATTGTTTCTAGTTGTAAGCCACTGTCTGAAAATAATAACTCCTATAAGACGTTATAGAAAAATGTATAATACGTGTTTTTTGTACATATTTTGTACCAAAGAAAAAATTTTGAACCTCAATCGTAACTTATTTTTAAGACAAAATAAGTAAGTGCAATTATATTAAAAATAATCGTGAAAATATAATAAACAAGAAAATAATAAACATTTGATCAATAGTGAATAATTAAAAAATTATCAAAATACTCACTTAAAAGTTTTCAAATATTGAACCACGTTCCGAGGTGACGTTAAAGATGAGACGAACTCTATAACTTTTCTGAAATTGTTATTAATATTATTCTATGGAGAATTCGCTTATGTTTGCTACTTTTTATTCTTCAAAATCAAAATTAGATTTGTTTTAATACAATTTAAAATAGCAAACACGAAATTAAAAAGTAACAACGTAATTTTATATTACTCTATATACCTACTAGCTGACCCGGCAAACGTTGTCTTGCCATATAAAAAACAGGGGTTGGTGATAAAAAATTAAAAATTTTGGGTTGTATGTATTTTTTAATGCTACATTATTTATGCTACAAAAAATTTCGTCGGAAAATAAAATAAAAACAACCCTTACGATTTAGGGGTATGAAAAATAGATGTTGGCCGATTCTCAGACCTACTCAATAAAATGTCATCAAAATCGGTCCAGCTGTTTCGGAGGCGTTCTCTGTTTAACACCGCAACACGAGAATTTTATATACAGGGTGACTGGTGAATTACTATCGATACTTGAGGACGTGATATTTGACGATCATATATGACAAAATAAAAATTAATATAACATAAATATTTATAAACTTCTAAGTAAAGTTAACCAAAAGTTATGTAATTAATTACGCATCGTGTGAACACCCTACAGATTAGGTATACACACACACACACACACGCGTGGGGCGGCGTGGTGTTGTATCAGCACGCCGCCGCACGCGTCCACACTTGGAACACTTGGAACGTGTCCACACTTTAATTATTTATACGGAAATTTTGTCAAAAATTAAGTACCTATTTTTTTTTACATTATTCGAATGAGAATCATGTACCGAGTATTCTCCTTAAATATTGATAGTAATTCACCAGTCACCCTGTATAAGATTTAGTACCTACTAAACTGAAGCAACCAGATTCTATGTGAAAAGTTATTATTGTATATACTTGTTAACTCTATCAGCGATCATCGTCCGTAGCGGAGCCAGTAATCTTCTTCTCAGCCACAAACCTCTGATGCCGAGCACCTCCTCTAACAGCCTCAATGGTACACTCTCGTCGTTGTCCTGAACAATATATGAACAGAAAATTACAAGCATTAAAAAAATCATATTATTTTAGTGGGTGCGAGAGGTATAACAGCTTAATCTCTCTATAACCTACTAAAAGATTTGGTCTAGAACTAATATCAATTCCTTCTAGGAAAGTACTTTAAAGGCAGCCTCAATGGGTTCGTTTCAAATTTAAGTAAAGAGAGGAGCTTAGACAGTGGAGGTGAGTGTTTAACGTGCAATAGATAGGGTCCCCTTAAACCTACACCTGGGTCGCAAGTCCCAGTCACTGTTGAAGCTCCTCTCCCTGCAACGATGGACCCGGTACCCGCACGGTGAATACATTGAATGGTTTTGTTTCAACTATATATGTATATGAATTAAGTGTTCTAAAACCAAAGTAAAAAACTAAATTTCAGAATATTGACGACTTTTTTGTGTATAATTAATTTATAAGAAGATTTCTTACGTCCTGAACGTCCGATGAATTCCAAGTTTTGAAATTTTTTAGATTTTCGCCACTTTTACCTTGGAATACTTTTGATATACCTAGAAAATAATAATAAATAATAATAACTTTCTTTAAGTAATTAAATTGATGTGAAAAATATTTCATACCGTCCATGACTCCGTCGACCGTATTTGCGAACTGATCGGGCATACTTTTTAAAGTCCTCATACCAGCTTTCAGTGAATTGACTAGGAGTGCGTCAATCTGTGATTAAAAAATATAATCTTAATTTTTAAAGAACATTACATTTTTCACATAATTTAATACACTGGTTTTACTTAAGCTACGGACGGAAGGCTAAGGCAGAGGGCAGAAGGCAAAGGCCAAAGGGCAAAGGACAAAAGACGAAGAGCAAGCTCAAAAGCAATGGGCAATTAGGACAAGAGGCAAGGGCAGAAGGCAGAAGAAATGTAAACAATTATTCTCACCGTATTCCCATGCCTTTCAGTTTGATTTTCCGGACTTAGAAATCCCCCGAGATAGTCAGGCGACAGTAGCGCCATGTACCTGGTATCCCTCGAAATGCTCGTTAGACTTTGTAAATAACTGTTGAGCATCCGTTTACGACTCTCCAAAACTGATCTAGATGTATTCTGAAATGTCTTCTTGGCCGGAAACGGAAGGTGACCTAGCTCTGGCCACTGTGAAAACATTTACAACAATTTGCTACTATAGCATCCATTTACTTGAACAAAGTTTTGAAATATACGATAAAATAATTCTTCATTTATTTCATTTTAAATGTTAGTTTTTTTAAGTCTAATTTTATTAAAGGAAAATTCCTTACCTAAACTTGTCAACAATGTTTTACAGAAACTTCAATAAACTAAAGTAAAATTTTTTATTAGATAGAAATCAAACCTTCAAATAATTTAACTTAATACATAATAATATGCAATGAAACAAATATACTTGTGCTTTTATATAAGAGTAATAAAATACCTTTTCTTTAATAGATGCGTGTAGATCATAGAAATCACTATATCGTCTATATATGTGCCAGACCTCGTTATCAGATTCTCTCGTAACAGCTATAGCATATATACCGAACGTTTTACCTTTGTCTTGAACCAATGCTACAAAAATATGACATAGATAACTTGGAATAAACATTATAATAGTCATTTGGAGATCAAATATAATGAGTGGGCATTTGGTTCATCCACAAGAACAAATTATTTGACTAGTTTTTACCAAATTTAAAATATTTTTTACCTGTTTCTATAATATACGCAGTTAACGGCGACATCATATTTTTAGCGCTTTGACTTATAGATGAATGTGACAACGACAAAGTGCTCGTGTTCGCAGATTTTAAATTAGACGGACCTTGAACAGGCATACAATAAATTTATTTAAATACAAATCACATAAAATCAAATACAATAAAAGTATAATTTTTGGCAAAGTCAACTTCCATCCATTTTTATGTAGGCTTGATTAGTACATACACATATCATAATTTACCTCAACATAGTTTAGTACATTGTTATTACATTAGATACATTTCGTTACCTGCATTGTCATTCATCATTTTCTGAGCGAAACTGCCAACAATATCTGAACGACTTCTGTTATGTCTCGCGCCAGGAACGGGTAACACAACGTCGCCTATAATATCACGAGCTTTGGCAGTTAAGGCATAAAGCGACATCACATTAGGAAACAGTTCATGCGCGGTTACAAAACTAGCGATAAAAATATTAAAAACAATTTGTAGGAAAAGACGAATTTTATATTCCTTTAATTTTTATAATAAAATTACTATTAACAAAATTCTAAGATGTCAATATCGACGTTTATAAGTTACATATAAGGAATTTACACTAAATGTTCGAAGAAAAATTATTATCGACTTTATTGCGACAAGGGAATAAAATGATTTATAAGTAACAGGGTTCTAAAAATCAGATATACAGTAACTATTTACTTTACTAAGTTTAGATAAAACTTATCTTTTAACTATATACTTCTAAGGCTACTGGTAAGTCGACCAAGTATTATTAGTACCCACAAGCACATTTAGGTATCGTATGATTCTTGTTACACGGGACTCTCCTTGCAAATGACCGAGGGAATGTTGATGATTTGGTAGGAAAACTGTTTCTATATTTATTTTTATAAAATATTTTCGGCAACTGGTTTAAACAGCTCCTTACAATCTTCTTACATTTTTCTGTTAATGTCATTATTTTGAATTTTATTATACTTGATATTTTATAGAGCACTAAATATTTTAGAATCCCATGATAAATACAGAATGTTAGACTATGTTATATTATTCAAGCAATAGCAATTATAAGGAGTTAGTAAGCGAGTAATTATAGTAACTTACCAGTATATTTGTGGGATTCCGATTTCATATCTTTTTTGAATTCACTGAAACAATAATAATATTCACTGAAAAAATAATAAGTGCAAAATATAAATCAAAATATTTTTTTTAACCTAAAATTCTTAATAACAGGGCATTAACAGAAAAGAGCCTATAAATAAATGAAAAATCAAAAAATACACATAAAAATCAGTGTATAAAAACAGATTTTTACCTATTTTCCATACCATCCTGATCGCCGTCAAACATAAAGTCGGCTTGCCACGAAGGATCCTCCTACAACAAACGAACAAAAGTTATATACATATATAGTATTGCTTAAATAACAATTACTCTATTATTTCCAGTATAATTTATAAATCTATTTGAGTTAAAGTGTTTTTTTTATAATTAAACATTACAAAAAAAAATATAAATGTAACAGTAATGTAATTATATTTGTGATATTCCTACAAGACAACTATATAAATAAAAATAACTAAATAAGAATGTTATTTTTGTTTAAATAGGTATACATAAATACCTCTAGGAGTTATATATTAACAACACATTATTAACTAACACTTTACATACATACAGAATATTACACATTATTAGCATGTATTATGTCAACAAAAAATCAGTGGTGGTCTAGTGGTTAAAAGGCCCGCCTCTCATGCACGAGGACACGGATTCGATCCTGGCCCTAGCAAGTACCAATGTGACTTTGCCGAGACATATGTACTTTCTAAGAGTATTTAGACACCAATAAGGGTTGATGTCAGGCAGGCGGTTGGTCGTAAAAAACAATTAGCCAAAAAAATATTCACAATATGTAAGGCAGACCCTGGCTAAAAGCTGGGAAATTGCCAAGTAGAAGAAGAAGCACATTATATCAACAAATGCTATCACAATATACATACCTCAAGCGCGTCACAAACACATTTCTGTACATCATCAAAGATCTGTATAGGATTGCTGGTGAACTCCCCACCGTCTGTAGTGATTCTCCTCACTAGGTCAGCATGTGTGTTGTCAGGCACCCCCAACACCCCCGCACCCCTCAGGTACAAGTCACACACCTCCAGAGCTGATGAACGAAGGTTGTCCATCACAGCTTTTGATGTGTGGGAATCTATTGGATATTATCATTCATTTAGATTGTAAAAACACTACAAGAGGAATATAGTTGGATATTTTATTAGTTGGTTATGTATAAAATTTTCTTTGTGTTCTGATATGTAAGAAAATATAGTGCAACTAAAAAATATGGTAAAGCTACCGATATAATAAACCATAAACGAATTTATTTTAATAGGTTACTGTGAATAACAGATACATTTTATATAAAAGATACCTGCTTCATTTAATTCAATTTCTAATAGATATTGTGCGTTAGACTTCCAAGCGGCCACCGCTCTAAGAAACTTTAAAGTTTTCATCACTTCCTCAGACTCCCTCTCCGTATTATCTGTTGTGGATAAACCTACAATTGCAATTATGTTTAGTTCTTGACAAATAAAGTCAAGTAACCGTCAATAGATGGCGCTGTCCACAAATTAAACTAGACTACCATTTAATGAATAAGTTCCGTGCCATAAATAAAGATGTCAGTATTACATATTTTATTTACTTTTTAATAATTACCTTCTTGTGGTCCCAGCGTCGCTCGACTGGCCTGTATGATCCTTGATAGATATTGTAAAGAAGACAGTTTTTGTCGATCTTGTAGTTCCCATTCACCAGCGCTGTCTTTTGAATGCTGTAATGTTAAAGCATTTCTATAAGTTCACCAATTTTCCTTTTCTTTGGTGATAAAGAAAAAAGATTTTCTCTTACATACAAAGTAGTTTTAATTGAATTTGGTTCAAACATTGCTCTTTATAGAATACTAGCTGACCCGGCGAACTTCGTACCGCCTTATAATCAAGAAATAAAAATTAAAAAAAAAATTGCCAAAAAATTAAAGTTTTTAATTAACAAATAAAAAATAAGGGTTGATCTCAGAGGGGTGAAAATTTAGGGTTGTATGTATTTTTATAGGCTGTGTCATAAAAAAATAAAAACAAAAAATTTTGCCTACCCTTAACATTTAGGGGGATGAAAAATAGATGTTGGCCGATTCTCACCCCTGGTTAGTATCCTCAATAAGGATCACAAAAATCGTTCGAGCCGTTTCGGAGGAGTTCAAGTTCGAACACCGTGACACGAGAATTTTATATATTAGATTAAACTATTTTTTCCTTCACCTCGTTAAAAATGCTAATAAAAAATAATATATATCTTACTAGTTTCTGTATGTCCTTCTGTACAAGCTCCAACGTCGCGTCTAATTCCTCGGCATCGCCACAAGTTCTTATAACCATCAGGAATAAGTCAGATGACAGACAGGAATCACGACAACACTGAAGATAAAATTATTTAATAAGATATTTTCTAATACCGATAAATATACCTCTAAATATTGACTATAATATACACAAACAAAATATCAATAGTATTAACGATAAAAAAAGTTACAGATTGGACTATTCTACTGTTCAAAACATTATTGATTAATTTTCGTTTCATATTTGTACCGCTCTTATCCAATCTGGCCTGGTCAAAAATTTAATCTCAAAATTATAATCCGCTAAAAATATTCGATAACAAAGACTATGTTACACACAAAATAGGGACAGTTTTATCTGGCTACTATTAGCCAAATAAATTCTATTTAAAAATAGCTATTTGAATGAATTTTAATACATATGTCTCACAAATGGTTTCAAGGGCTAAAAAAGTAATCTCCAATATATTAAAAATTATACGCTTATTTTATTTATACTAAATATATTAAGCGAATAGAAGAACTCACCGATCTTATTATAGCTCTATTTATATTGTCAGGGTCGCTCAACATTTTTATTAATGGCCTGAGAACTATCGACGATAGTAGATCGATAAGTATTAACTTCATTACATGACAATTCCACGCTTCTTCTGGCACTAACAGATATAACAGGGCCTCTGACACCTCAGAAAGCAGGGCTGGAAACAGAATATAAGTTTTTGACAACTTTGTTTGATGAATTGTATCTATTATAACTAATTTGTGGCTTTATTTATTTGAGAAACCATTTTTTTGTTTGCCACTATAGGTCATTTATTTTTATGGGTGCTTAAGAGCATATAATATTATGTAGGATATTATATTTCAAAATTATTTACACTTGGAATTTTGATATGTATTAAACTTTAGCGCAATGATGAATAAATATGACTAACCGGCTTCTTTCTCTGGATCAGTGCAAAATATATCCCTACATAACTCTTTATTCTCTATAGAACACTCCAAATCAAAGAACAGGTCCTTTATATTGTTACTGCTTATATTTTCGGAACTGCTATAAAACTTCGATTTACCAAAAGATTGGGAATCTGAAATTAATAAAAAATTTCATTATTACTTATTAAATTAACTTAATGAGATGATAATAAAAAATAAATTTAATTACCTGGAGGCCAAAGTAAATCGGTTTCGCTCTTATTTCTCCTATGAGTTCGTTTTTCCTCTGGTTTCTTGGGAACTGGCTTTGAATTGCCATTCATTTCTTTGGCACTCAGTAACTGCATCCGTTTTAACCTTACCCTTGATTGTTTAAATAGCTTTAAGTGCAATGTTAATTCTTCAGGGAACCTTGTTGCTAGCAGATGTATCCAGTCTACAGTTTTTACCCTAAAATAGAAACGAAATCTTTGATTATACTTATGTGTCTCATAATTATAAAATACTGATATAAGTTTATAACGATACAGCAATTCAAACAGTCCACGAACCATTGAGAACTGTTTTGAAGAAACGAACTGTTTGTCGTAAAACCGTATTAAATAAACTCAAATAGAGGGAATGTGTTTTCGTTTAAAAAAAAAAGTTTGAAAATATGAACAATCGTAAAATACTGGTAAATGTAAAGAAATCGAAATTCCGTTTGTTATCAGGTCAAATAACTATTTTTATAAAATAAACTGACAGCTGTTCGTAAAGAAAGTCAATTGAAAGAAAAATATATCTATAACTAATTTTGATGGTTACCATTACAGTTTTTCCGATTTATACAACATCATCGTAAATTACATCCTATTTGTTATTCTCATATCTGCACTATATCATTCTTACGATTCATTAAAATTCGAGCGATAGTTTCTGAGTGAAACAGTAACAAACATACAAACACATAAACACACAAAAAATATATGTTTATAGTTTATAAAATGGGAATATCAGAGTACACTGCAATGGTATTATATATAGAGGTGAAAATAACATGTAATACCTACAAATATATTTTTTAATCTTACTTAGATAAAATAAAATTCAAAAAAACTTAACACATATGTGTTATGCTGTATCACTTAAGTTATGTGTTAATATTTTTATTCTGTTTATTAGTTAACAGTAACTCAAAATTTACATGAAAATGTTTATGACACTATTACTTATACAAAATCTCAAATAAAAATATAAAAAATAATGAAAAATAAGGTAATTTAGTTTAGGTATAAATAATTATCCTTCTTATATTTTTAAGACCTTTGTCCAGCAATAATAATAGCTGGTGATAATTATGAAGTAACTTCTTTTAGTTTCCAAGAAACCTGTAGCTATAGTTAACATCCACAAATTTTATTTTTTAAACAACAGCTAAATCATTGTTTCTGTATAATTTTCTTTAAAAAAATTGTCAGTTAATTTTTATTTTGTTTTGGTGCAAAAAGTTATTAAATCAATAATCAATATGAGTATGTACTTTATTTATAAACACATGCATATTATTGTGTCATTCACATCTCATATTTTTTCTTCAATTATAAGAAAAATAAAATGTTTACAGATACATTCAGGTAAAAAAATATATTATTAGTGACATATTAGCCTCAATATTATAAGTACCACCGGAAAATACTTTGTCGGCACTCTGCTACTGACACAACCCAAAATGTAATTGCAACCACTGCCTGGGTTCCAAAAATTTAGCAACATAAAAAAAATTTGTCTATAGGGTATTTGTTTTCCCAATATTCCATTATCCAATTAACTTATTATATTACTTAATTTAAACCCAAATAATTAATAATCTTATTTTGATCTTACTAACTTATTATGATAATTTAAATAAAATGACTGAACTCTACTAACTATAATTTCCTGTAACTTTATTTTCTTTCATAAAACCAAAGAGCTATAAACACTAATAAATACTAATTTCATGAAATAATGTCTGAGTATTTAAGTATTACATATTTAGAATATTACATATTATCTATATCTTTAACTTACCTGTTTGATACATTTGCTCCTGCTGCAACAACTAATTTCTTTATTGCATATGTAGTAAGCTCTTGATCATCGGTTATAAGTTCATACCAAGTGGTAACATAGTCATTGATGATTATTGAAACAATTTCATTTAGAAATGAATCAACCGTCTCACTACCAGTTATTCTGCTGTCAAATTTAGGCAGTGATTTTTTAGTTTTAAATAATTCTAAAACCTAAAATTATGTATATAAATTAAATTTAAGATAACATACCTAAAGGTGAATAAACTATGAATACTAATATAAGTTTTTAATATTATAAATTGGCCAACACAATTCTTATAAGAAATCAATAATATTTTTTTATATATTTATTCTATTTAAATGTAAGCATTTGAAACATGGAGATATTCATTATTTTAATAGAAGAGAATTGTTTTCAACTACTTACTTTAGCTGATTGAATAGAGAAATTTGATTGTTGTAGGGGATCATCCAGATAATCAATATCTACTGAGAATATTTTCTTGCTATCGTAGTTCAAATATAAGATAGTCAAGACCCTGAATTAAATAAATAAATAATGTTATAATTTTCATTAATTTGACCGTTACTTTATATTTTTTAAATGGTAAAAAGAAATCATCGAACGAAGTATATACATATTGGATAAAAACATAAATATATTTAATAACTTACCCCACTATAAAAGAAACGAAAAATGTTAATAAAGTTAGATAAAATCTGAAACCGAATAAGGCAATAGTTATGACAGAGATTAAGCCAAACCATCCTGACACACGGACGAACATCGTGTGTCGTTTTAATTATATATCACTGCAATTTGTACAAATAAATTAAAAGAAAACTACAAGATCAAAACAAAACAGTAAACGACACGACAAAAATAACTCAAGATATGACTTCTGTCATATTGGCAATGGCAAATGACTTATGCTAGAAAGGAGTCAAGTGGCTTGCCAGTTAAAAATCCTATTTATTTATTTTTAAACATTATGTATTACTTGTTGGTAGTGAAATATTATATTTTGAGAAATAAAATATAAATAAATAAATATCTCTTTAAAGTTTCTATAAAGTTTACCTCTATTTTAAAGTTAAAGAACAAAAACCATTTGGGACAGATTTAGTAAAATTTAAATTTTTACTTTTTTGGAAGATACGCTCTAAGACACATTTTAAGTCAGTAAAACGCACATTTCAACAGAATTTCAGTTTATTGAAACACAACACGACCACAAGAATTGTAATATATGTTTTAAATACCTATTTTAGTAATACTATTAATTATTTTATTGTCAAACATGTCAAATAAATAATCATTAATGAGCTCATTATAATTTAGTTGGTATGGAAATGTTAATGAGACTAGGAAAAAGACAAAGGGTTAATAGTTATAGAGTTCTTCTTTACATTGTGTAGAAACATCAAGATAAAATAAATTACACATTATATAAATTTATTAGTAATATTTGGAAAGTGCTCAATAATTAATGATAAATATAATAGTGCTCTATATTTAAGTCATTTTACCAATTCCTTCATTTGTTTACATTATAGCTGTTGCGATTATATAGGGTGGCGCAAAAGTAAAGACCCTATTTGGTTCAGCTATAACATTTTTTGTAAATGAGAAAACTAGATTTAGGTTTTTTTAAATGTATATTTGTGCCATTAAATTTCGTACCATTAGGATTTAAAGATGATGTCTTTTAAATGGTGGCCTCCAGAGTTGATACACAAAATTGGTTATGAGTGACGAAGCGCATTTCCATCTCTCAGGGCATGTCAATAAGCAGAATACTCGGTTCTGGGGCACTGATAATCCGCGCATTATTCAAGAAACACCTCAACACCCACTAAAAGTTACATCTGGTTTCAACAAGACGGCGCTACGGCACACACAGCGCGCGACACTATGGACTTAGTGAGGGACGCTTTTCCAGGCCCAGTTATCTCTCGTTTTGGCGATTTGCGTTGGCCTGCAAGATCACCCGATTTGACCAGTCCAGACTTCTTTCTTTGGTGTTTTTTGAAATCTCGGGTGTATGTGAACAAGCCACAGACTCTCGCAGCTCTAAAAGAAAACATTCGTCAAGAAATAACGAACATATCGCAGGAAGTGTTACGGCAAGTTATGCAAAATGTCATAAATAGGGCTCAAATGTGTATCAACTCTGGAGGTCACCATTTAAAAGACATCATCTTTAAATCCTAATGGTACGAAATTTAATGGCACAAATATACATTTAAAAAAACCTAAATCTAGTTTTCTCATTTAGAAAAAATGTTATAGCTGAACCAAATAGGGTCTTTACTTTTGCGCCACCCAGTATTTAAAAATAATAATGTTAAGCTACATTGGGCAACAAAAAGTTGAGGTAATTATCTTTTAAACATACCTATTCACACAAATACTATTTGCTCATAATGAGATGGTAACTAAATTAATACTATTTTTAGTACATATTATACATGCATACAAGCAATGTACTTATAAGTATTATCACATTTTTATCCATCATCGCTATAATTATAAAAATGCATCATTGAACCAAAATTAAATGTCTGACAAAGATCACATATACATTAAAGAACATCATAATAACAATTTTGTGATGATATTTTTTGTAGTATGCATTTTTATGAGGTAGCCCTACTTTCCCACAGATTTCATTCACTTTTTATGAAGGCTTTATAATAGTATGAAACTTTTTCCATCCTGCTCTACTACTTTTGTTTACAAAGCATAATCTTTGCCAGACTTATTACAAGTTTAAAGTTTTTCTAGTTTTATTACTGCATTATTTATATTAAACACATTATGCACATTTTTCGACATAAAATGGTACATCAAATAACATGTTATACAAAATGATGTTATTGACTCTTAACCACAAATATAATACATTTTTTGTTAGTTTATTTTGACTAAAAAAAACACATGAAAACTAGACTGAACATAAATTTTATGTTAATAAATAACCAAAACAAAGAAAAATACTAATATTTTACCCACTTCATGGGTTTGTGAACATTCAGATCTAAAGAAAATGTTGTGTACCTCTATCATCTAAATCTATAATAAATTATTGTTATAATATTTATATTGGTAGATCTGCCAAAAAAAACTTATTAAAGGAATAGCCTCATATTTATCAAATGATTTATAGTAATACATTAAAAATCAAAATTATAATTTTATTACATACATTACGCAAAATAACTATATTACAATTGACAACTATTTTTGTGCATCAATAATGAAAAGATTTTACATTATAAATATACTACTCCCATTCGCTCAAAGCACCTATGTCATATATAAATGGCAGAAAGAAAAATAATATAAATTAATTAAATACATCTCACGCATGTTAAATATGCCTAATATTTTTTTATAACTATGAATATATTACAAATATTACAACAAAGTCAACAAGAACATCAACAATGGACTCAATAATTTTATTAAACTGATGTTTTGATTACATTTATCAATATAGTTTCAATAACTTAGTCATCTAGTTATACATAATCATTCAGTTAGATATAATGACTTTTTTATAATGAAACTATATTGACTAATGTATATAAGAGAATTTTAATTGAATATCATAGAGGCAGATCTGGATCCAACGGTAAAATCTTTGTACTGAGAAAACACACAGAGCTGAAAAAAAATAATTGTAAAAATGTAATCAATCAGATATGTACATTTTCATTCCTGAATATAATACAACAGATTAAAAAAGGCTTAAATTAATTATTTTATCACTTCATTTTGTATTGGCTGTGATAAATTTATCAATAAATAGCTGGATGTTATCAAATATGACCAAGCAAATTCAAGATAAACACATATAGTATTTGAATAACATAAGCCACAATTTTGATTTATACATTGCGATTATTTAAACCTTGGATCTAATGAGAGCCAATAGGTTATCAGAATACTGTTTAATGAAAAGTTAATCTAGTTTTATTTGTAATAAATACTTAGGTATAAACTTTCAATAGTTTACATCTAATATGGATTAATAATTTAAATTCAACATTAAAATAAATCTTGTCAAAAAGCTATCTAACCACACAAAGAACTATATCTATAGATAAAAAATATCTATTATGTAATCAATATTTATATAGTAATTATTTAACTTGTTTCTTATATTTTTTTAATGACATACCTTATCTTTAAGTTGTTGACACATATGTAAAGCGGCCGTTAACATGAATAGGACATCACTAAGCCACGGTACAGCACAATCGGCTTGACATGAGTCAATACGCATACTCCCATGAACCAAACTAAGTTGATACGCAACAAATATCAATTTATGGGACTGTATGTAGAAAGATATTGCAAGATCTTCTGGCAAATTTGGTGATAATGCTTTCTGAAATCAATAAAAATAAATCACTTTAATTATTGATTTAATACTTAATTGCTGCTTTTGAAATAAACAAAAAATGACAGGTACTAATTTAAATCAGATTAAATGATAATCATATACTGATTCTTGTAGAATATTGATAATGTTAATAAAGATTTTCTTATTAATTTTTTTATAACAAACTAAAGATATGCTCACCATATTTCTACTCTTCATTAATTCATCAATAGCCTTTTTCTTAGGTAACACAAGAGCTGTTCTAGCTCTTTGTAAGGATCCCAGCAAACACTGTATTATATGAAGCACTTCTTCAGATGACCTAAAATTTGGGACCAACAAGTTAAGTATGACAATTTTGTGAATATTTAAATGTTTTTGTAATGTATATTTCTGTTACGAGGTTTGGTCAATGCTAAGAATGGCTGGTTATAAAATATTTAAATTAATAAACACCTGAATACATAATGTTTATCAACATTATCTATATAGCCAATGGCCTGTTGTAAATGATTAGCGGCATCCTGGATCTGTTGAAGTTTCCAAGGCCCATCCTGGTTAATTGAGGTCTTGCATATTGTGTGCATCTGCCTTAATACTTTAAAACTTATATCCTTAAATTAAATAATACTATTTAGTATTCCATTAATGCATTTCTACATAAAATAAAGTATAAGATGAGTAAGTATATAATCATTGAACCATAGAATTATATAGAAACCAAGTGTTTCAATATGGTACAAGTACCATATTGAAGACTGAAATTTTCAAAATATGTAACTATAAATAACATTGTGGAACTTACTGCATGTGTGATACTATCTCCTGTAAGGGTGACAACACACTTCAGTTGTTCTGGTTGAGATGTTAATATAAATTTGTCTTGTTTTTGTCCTTCGTTCCCATATAGTGGGACTGGAAAACGGTGTGCACATTCCTAAAAAGTAACATGATCAATCTAGGAACTATTTTATAACTTAAAGTTTTTTCATTCATTACATTAGACATTGTAATTTAAATTAAAGAAATTAGAATGTATAATGAGATGTATATATATTTTTGTTTATAAATAATAGCGTTACTCGAATATGTTAATTAATTCAAATAGAAGTAATAAAATTCCATTGATATACATGTAAACCAATGAATAACCAAACAATGATAAAAACAAGTTACCACTAGAACTGAGTGTAATTGATGTAATATAGCGTGAACTTCCTCACGAAGAACCCATTCAAACTCGTCTTTCTAAAATATATCAATATATTGAGTGAGTACATAACACTGCATAATTTATTAAGTAAATGTTTAAGGTAATGGTCTACAAAAAAATCAATACCGCACCAAATTTGCAGCTTCCTCTTTTTCGTTGTCATTCATTTTACTGATTTTATGCCAAAATTAGAAGTAAATTGATGTAAACGAGTAAATATATAAGAAAAAGAGGATTATGGTCCTGGTTCTTTAGTCACCAATCACCATTTAATGCTCGATGTTACCAGTTGGAACAAAAAAAACTTAATGTCAATCAAAAAACACAAGTGTATTTTACACACCAAAAATATCATAAATATATTTTATAATTACCATTCAGAGAAATTTAATAGAATTTTCTTAACCTTTTAAAGAATTAAATAATAACTTTACGAATTAAAAATTGAAGGGGTTTAATTAATATTCTTTTGAATTAGACTTTTTAAACAATATAATTTTTTTCTACTTTCATAATGTGAGAGGTTTTATAACTTATTTTATTAAAGTTATTTTGTACAATATCCAAACATACAAATATATAAAAAAAATTGCACCTTTATTTTTTAAAATTTTTATAATAGTTCTTGAGACATATATTTAGAATTTTACTATCAACTATTAGTTAATAAACTATAAATATTCTAGTTTATTATATACAAAAATACAAATTAAGATTTTAAACATTGTGTGGTTTTATTATGTAAAGCCCTTACCATTCATATAAAATAATCTGTTCTAGATAGGGTAACATTTCTCTCTCTATCAGTCAATGTAAATTGTAATGTAAAAAGTAATAACAGCTGAGCTATGAGCTACAGATTAATAACTTCTTATTAGCGACCATAATCATTGCGATTTGAATATTGATTTAAATGCAGTAACTAAAAATCTATAGTACCGAGATTATTTAATGTTCGACACATGAAATTAACTATGTTTTGTATTAGTTTATATAATAAATAATAGTTAATATGTGGGTAAAACCTCAAGAAGTATACCTGAAAACTCCTTTGTGGTAATGCGACTGTTTATATATTGGTTTCTTATCTTTGTATTCTTTAGATATAAATTTATACAATTAGTTACATGGTTGTAATTATTTTAACAGGGATAGTGACGAAACTACTTTGTACTTTGTTTTACAAAGAAGGAAGGGACACGGTAAATCGAAAAGTCTTTCGTCACTTTTAGTGGGTACACTAGACAGCGTTCGGGATACAAAGCCAGCGCCGTATAGAATTTTACATCAGACTCCTAATTCTGAAATATATTACGGTAGGTTTCTAAAGACAGAAACTATTAAAAAAAAGTTAAAAATTAAATTTAAAGTTATTAAAACGTTGTTTTTATAGTTATATCAACAGCGCTAACTGAACAAGAGATCCGCCAAGACTGGCAGTGGCTTTTTGAAAATGTTAGCCCGACACTTCATTCATTTGATACAGAAGAAGAGATAACAGAATTTGTTTGTTGCAAAATAAATTCCATTATAGCAACGGAACAGGAGAACTTTACTGAAGGTAATTATATATCAACAAGATAATAGTTATTATTTACTTGAGCAGGATCTATTGTAATGACTGATAATTACTGTATTTGGACATCATTGAAAATCCACTTAACACAAAATGTAATATAACAGTTATATTGCAATTAACATATAAAAATAGTAAGTTAATTTAATTTATGTTGTACTTTAAAGATGAAGACACAATCACATATAAGAATGTTGTCTATGAATTTCACCAGAGATTCTCAATGCCAAAGGATGAAAAACTTGTATGCTATTATTCATGCAGGTAAGATTATTTTGCAGTTTATTATCACTCAAAGTGTATTAGAGTATGTAGTAATAAACAATTAATCTTTTAGCTATTGGAAAGGCAAGATGCCTCGTCAAGGATGGATGTACTTATCAGTGCATTACATGTGTTTTTACTCCTATATCTTTGGACGCAAAACTGCCTTGAAGATAAGATGGGCTGATGTCACAGAGCTCGCTAAAACGAATAGCTTACTTTTCCCCGATTCAATAAAAATAGTGACAAGAGATGGGGAGTATTACTTTACTATGTTTCTGAGGAAAAATGAGACCTTTGCTTTAATGCAACAACTTGCTAATATAGCTATGAAACAGTAAGTTCACTAGCTATGTCATAATTTATTTTCTTCTTGTATTTTGCTTTACACATTACTATTATTAATTGTTGATATTTTAAATATATATAAAGCTAGTCATTTGTTATATTTCACAATGACCAATAAACATAATACTTCTGCTTATCAACTTATTGAGCCATGTATATTTTGACCTTGATTTAATTATATATTTTTTATGAATGTAAAGTCAAATAAAATAGAATAATAAATATTTTAATATATTATGTTTTTGAGCATTGTGAAATTAATTATTATGCTTATAAAATAAAATTATAATGCTGTGTTATCATAATTCTAATTATTTAATTTTTTAAATTCAGATTGATAGATGACAAATCTGGGACTTTTAATATTGACAAAGACTTGCTAACAAAGCTCAGCAAGAATGTTCCTAAAAAGCCTTCGTTTCTAAAACGAGATTTGGATGCTCGGAAGCAATCAAATTTATACACTCTACGATTTCGATTGCCACATACAGAGAAGTTGGATGGCTCCGAAGAATGTACACTTTGGACACCATATAATAAACGTCATAATTGGGGAAGGTTGTACCTGTCACAGAATTTCATCTGTTTTGATAGCAGGGTATGTTATACAATTACAATTATCATTCATTAATTAATATGACTCAGTGCTAAAACCTAACATTATTAACATTAATCTATAGTGTTTCAGTGAATCACAAACAGTGCGACTATATAAATATGTAAATTTGTTCTTATTGATTGAATCATTAAATAATATCTTTATATTAAATAGTAAGCTTTATTATGATGAAACATTTCATATTTGAATATATCATATTTAATAAACTGTCTTCCAAAGTTTTGAATAAAAGTGTAATGTAGTCAAGTTAATTCTTATTAGATCTTCAAACTTATATAAATAAAGTGTATTTTACTTCAATCCAAACTTATTGCAATTGAAATTATATTATAAATAGATGAAGCAGTCATGACTATAAGTAGTTATTCAAAGTCTGTCTGACCCATTAATCTGATTCCATTTTTAATATGTAAATTCCAGGTCCGTCACCTTGTCAGGCTGACCATTCCACTTCGAGATGTTCATCAAGTAGAGCGCGCGGTATCCAGTACGAGCAGCAGTCAGGATGTGGGCAGCATCCTCATCACCACCGCTCATCACACTAGCTTCTTGTTCGGAAACATCTCTGATAGAGACTTCCTCGTACACAAGATATCAGAACTCCTAGCAAAACTGCCCAAGTATGATTTTGACATGTTATTATCAAAAACATTATTTAGAATTCTATTTTCCTATTTAACTCTTGTAAGCTTAAAGTTTTGGATGAAGTAAATTGAGTATATATGAAAAATATATATTTTTGATTACTGTAATGTAATGATTAGTATTTGCATGTAGGATGGTAATATTATGATTGTAATGGGTGAAATGTTTTATTATGAATAATTTATTTCAAACTGTCATATGTGGTGTTACTTAATATCATTTTTTATCTGGAGCGATATGATTAATAAATTTGATTTCATTTATTTAACATAATCTCATTGATTATTTATGTTATATTTCATACTAATATACTAATCTTATACTAACTTTCTGCAACAGGTTGGGGTCATATTGGATTGGAGTTAATGGGAACATTTTAACTGTAGCCCTAATTCTAATAGTTTGAGAACAGTACTATTTACAGGGAGAAGTCGTCTAGAGTGTTGTCTTCAAGAGAGGAGAGTAAATGGACCCCGCAGCCTCCGCTGATGACTTTGTTCAAAACTCATCAGACTTCCACCATCAAACAGATACAGACCAAAAAGGTTAAACATTGCCCATAATGAGATTTTTTAAAATTTTAATTATGTGCTAGTATTGTTTAGTAAAGAAACGTTTATATAATCACCTGATATAAAAATATATTTACATAATTTATCTTCTTTCCTTGGCACTGCAGTGAGGTTATACAATTTTCATAAATTTAGACTTTTTGTTTTTAGTGAAATAACTCGATTTAATATTAAAGATTTATTACAGGAAAAGCAATGGGAAGATCATATGTCAGAGGTGGGTAGGGGCGTCAGTATGTACAGGACTACAGAAGGCAGCGAATTAGTTGTGAACGGTATACCAGAATCACTTAGAGGGGAACTTTGGAGCGTGTTCTCAGGGTCGATACTACAGAAGGCCCAAAACAAGGGCCTTTACGAGAAGTTAGTGAATGAGGCCTTGTCGTCGAAGAACCAAGCGAATGATGAGATCGAGAGAGACTTGCACAGATCACTACCCGAACATCCGGCGTTTCAAAATAATGTTGGTAAGGAAATGTACTTATTTAAAGTATATGAGTCCAATAAAACAATGTAGATAAATACGCAAACAAAATTAATATTAAGTATTATTTTATAGGCCTAGTATTGGCATCTTCCGCCAAATTGTCATTTATTTCCAATGTTTATAACCCACAATTGCAATTCCTTGCAGGTATATCTGCATTGCGTCGTGTGTTATGCGCATACGCACTAAAGAACCCCACAATCGGTTACTGCCAAGCCATGAATATTGTTGCCTCCGTACTCCTGATATACTGCCCTGAAGAACAAGCCTTCTGGCTATTGGCGACCATCTGTGAGACTTTGCTACCCGATTATTATAATACACGGGTCGTGGGAGCTTTGGTAAGTGGAAAAATTAGTACAGGGTGGCCCAGAAAGACCGAAGTGGTGTGAACTGATTATAACTTTTTATTTAAGAGATATTTTTTTAATTTTTTTTTTTTCAAATACATTAAATTTATGGGGAATATTTTTGGATTAGTTATTAAAAATGATATCCCGCAAGTGGTGGCCATATTCTGCTTCGCACAAATGTGCTCTTTCCAACACATTTTCCATGACCTTTCGCAAAACTTCCGGTGGTATGTTGTTAATTTCTTCTCGAATATTGGTTTTTAACTCCTCAATAGTCCTAGGCTTATTAACATAAACTTTTCCTTTTAAATAGCCCCAAAGAAAACAGTCTGGAGCGGTTAAATCCGGGGACCGCGGAGGCCAATTAAAATTGCTGTGCTGTGCTCTTGTGCTTTTTGCTGGAAATAAATTGCATAGTCAAGTCGTTGCTGGTAATCTGTTGGTTTCAATTCTTGGACAAGTTGAATTTTGTATGGAAACAATCCTATGGAGTGCAAAATTCGCTGCAGCGACGTTCTTGAGAGGCCCAGTTGTGACGAACGTCTCCTGGTTGATGTTTCTGGATCCTCCCGAATACTCTCCTGTACCACTTGAATATTGTCAGCCGTGTGGACAGTTCGGTGTCTGCCGGAACCAGGAAGGTTCCTTACTGCTCCTTGTTCTCGAAAATTTGCAACCAGACGGTTTATTGTTGACTGAGAGGGTGCTACCCGCACATTAAATTGACGACGGTATGCACGCTGAGTCAACACAATGGACCGTTGATTTGAAAAGTAAATTTCAACAATTTGGGCACGTTGTTCAATTGTGTATTGCTCCATTATAAATTATCCAAGTCTTCTTTACAAAATACTGAAAAGAAAAGAAAAAAAAAATTATAATAAAAAAGTTATAAGGAATTCACACCACTTCGGTCTTTCTGGGCCACCCCGTAATAAGTTAACCCTTAGCAAGTGATATAAATCGTTACAGAGATATTTTTCCAGATTTCCTTGACATGGTCCTTTCATTAGATACATGATATTTTTCATCGACTACTTTATTTTTAATGCATTTAAAGTTATTCGCTAAATAATAATTTTTGCATCTATAATTATATGAATGACAAACTTGTCTGTTTCTTTGTCAGAATAGTTATAATTCTTTTGTGATTTTTCTCATCTGGAAAAAAGATGAATTACATTGAAGCCTGGTGGAAGCAATGATGTATATATTTCTATTTATTTTAACGCAATATAGTCCTTTTAAAGAATATTTTTATCGCAGGTGGACCAGGGTGTTTTGGACGAGCTCACCAAAGCCCATCTTCCAGAACTTCACGCTAAGCTGGATGAGCTGGGAATGATGAAAATGATCTCCCTGTCCTGGTTCCTCACCCTCTTCATCAGCGTCATGCCGTATGAGTGCGCCGTCAACGTCATGGACTGCTTTTTCTATGATGGAGCAAAAGTCATCTTTCAGGTTGCCACTCATAGTTATAGTTGTAATTTCAGTAAATATAAAGACTTCTTGAAAAGCACAATATTTTTCTATAATTAAAAAATATATATTTGATAAACTATAATTCTGAAATATATGTATTAACAAAATTTAAAAACGACCTTTTTACATAGGCAAACGAGTTACAGACACCAAATTTTAATCTTTTGTATATTTTACGTCTCTTTCATTCTAAACTTCATATGAAAATTTATTGTATTCTAGGTAACTTTGACAATACTGGATATAAATCGCGAGAAGCTGCTGAAATGTGGTGAAGACGGCCAGGCGATGCAAGTGTTCAGTGAATACTTGGAGGGGATCTACAACGAGGAGGCTATGGCTCTGTCCACGGAACCAAGAACAGCTGAGAAGGTGAGGAGTAAGGTAGTAGACTATATTTTATTATATTGGAACTACTGGCAAAGGAATCATAAGAAAGGCTTACTGCTTTTGGGCTTTGGCAGGATTTTTATTGACGAATTCATCAAATTGTTACCGAATATGCCTATCATGTGTCAAGTGTTTGAATAATGTTATTGTGTTCTCATATAATTTACTTAATCAGGCTTTTTGTGTATACTAATCTATGTTTCGCTTTTCATATCATTTAGGTAGCTCGTGTATGAATCAACATTTTTATCAGCTTTCTTTTTGTTACTTATGTTTCTGATCTGTAATGTTAATATGTATATATTTGTATGATTTTCAAAAACAAAACATTATTTTTATGCAACAAGAAGAAACATACATATCTATAACTGTAAAATTTAATTTGGACTTGATTAGCGTTGTTCGTTAGTTATTTCAACTTCTGTTCAAATACCTAAGAAACTTTATATGTTATTTTGTATATTGTAACAAAAATCACTTACACGGTACACTACGTACACTATAATATACATCTAATTGATATTTCCAGACAATAAAAATCCAAGAGCTGGTGTATCAATCGTACCGTTCGTTCGGTTCGAGCGTTAGCAGCGAATGTATCGAACACCTGCGACTGAAGCATCGCCTGCGAGTGGTCCGCCAGCTGGAGGACAGTCTGGAGAAGAACACGTTGAGGGCCTTACAGCAGGACAGACTGCTGGACGCTACTGAACTACAGGTTACACCTGCTACTGATTATATACAGAGAATGTGATAACGTTTATGAGGTTGTGGATGTATGTTACTCTTTCACGAATAAACCACTGAACTGATTTTAATGAATATTGGTACAGAGATAGAGTTGACCTTGAAAAAGAACATAGGATAGTTTTTATTCCAGACTTTTGAATGGTTCTCTTGAAAACGCGATATAACCGAACTACACGCGGGCGAAGCTGCGGGCGGAAAGCTAGTAATTAAAATAACGAGAATGTGCGAATGTTTGTGATCTTGATGACGTATGTTAGTCTGTCGCATATATATACTGAACAAGTTTTGATGAACTTAGCCATCAGAATCATGTACAGACTATATATTTCTTTCTGAATGACAACGAGCCAAAGTTGGGAACAGTTCATAGTATAAGATATATATCATATAGGGTATTGAAAAGAACATAATATATCCTTTTGAAATATATTTTTTTCACAATTTATACCAATGGCCGTCAATTTACTGTTTCATAATATGTACATTAAAATTTATTAATTATAATATTGTTATTTATTCGGTAGACAATAATAAATACCTATTTTATTGATTTTTCCCAATTCATACTGTTATATAAGGTTTTTCTACTAAATTACAGGAATTGCTAAGCGTGATTCGCGAAGAACTATTTTGGGCGAAGCGCGTCCCGTGCGAGCGTCTCGAAGCACCGTATGAAGCTTATCGCCTGGACTACGGACAGTTTAAAACGCTATTCCAAGCTTTATCACCGTGGGGGAAAGGCGATTATGCTGAAGCTATCACTACAAGGATGTTCAAGGTATCGTCATACTATTATACTATAATTATATTGTGCTAAGCTCATGAAAACCCGATCTACTGATCTGGTCGACTTGTTACTGGTTATAGTGGTCACAATTCTTTTGGACCAATTTCAATCAATGCTATACGTACTGTTATTGAATCTTTCCCCCCTCCCCTCTCCCCTCAGCTGATGGACCACGACGCGGACGGCCTGGTGTCAGCCCGCGGCCTGTCCGTGTCGCTCGGCATCTCGTGCCGGTCGGACGCGTCCCGCCGCCTGCGCGTGTTGTACTGCGCCCACGCACCGCCGCTGTTGTCTGATGATGAGCTGCGGCAGACGTTCACGGAGACCGGAGAGGAACTCGCCGCTGATGCTATATCATTCTTTGATAAGTATGACGGATGATACTCATGTGACTTATACGAGTAAACTCGAGTTAAAATAGATTTACCTAAACTGCTGACTAAATTCTCTTCACATTAAATACATACATGTTTCGATAACTCCTTATAAATTCCTTTTAATGGAATTGATAATGTGATAATCAGTTGATCTCAATCCATTTAAAACTACCCATACCTAACACAGTTATACTAAGTCAGTGATATTGAAATATTATTATTTATTAATTCCTCAGTATAGACAATCCGTCCACACCTGACACCACGTTGCAAAGATCAATAAGTGAAGTATGTGAAGATAATCAGATGGACAAATCAACAGACAGCGCTTACAGCCAGTCCGGTGAATATATACATTATATTAAAATATTGTGGTGAAATTATTATTATTTTACCACATCTCCTCCATTAAATAATAAAGTTATCAAAATATATATATTATATTAAACCGCGGTGTTACTCGCAGATTTCCGGGATGTAAAGTAGCCCATATGTTATTCTTGGACGTCAGCTTCCTGTATACAAAATTTTATCAAAATTGGTTCAGTCGTTTGAGCGTGAAGAAGTAGCAAACATACACACACACTCACAAACTTTCGCGATTATAATATAAGTAGGATAATATGTATGAAATAATTAGCTGAGAGAGAACTATGGCAATTATAATAATCAAAAGGGTTCTCTTTAAATGTAACACAATTTACCTGCACATATAAAATTTGGTATTAATTTCTAATTTGATATAGGGTTCCATATATTCAAAGATATTCGATTGGTGTTCCGTATCATTGACATAGAGGAACTGTTATGAAGGATGATTCAATATAAGATGTGTCTCATTCCAGAGCCGCTTGGTGAGTGTGACGTGGTCCGCGCGTGTGCCCTGGCAGGTCTGCCGTCGGGGGCCTCCACCCCCGGCACCCCTCCCCCCCGGGCCGCTCCCCCCCTACCCCGCCGACACTTCCTCCGCCTGCTGGCAGCCCTGCACCACCTCACGCACCACTGCACTATACTGTATGAGGCGGTCGCCAGAGCGGGTGAGTGACGTCACCGATCAATTGTACTATAAGTGGGTTGAAGTCTACATATACATATATTGATCGTTACTCAATTTCCATAGGTACGTTGCTTCTCCAACTGGGCGAATTGAACCATCGCCCTACAATGGACCGTGAAATATCTCAGGACAGTCTTTACCAAGCCGCCGCAGCACAACCAACTACAGACGTAAGAATATGTTAAAATTAATTAATTAAATGAAAAGGTGAATTTTCGTTATGTTGAAAATGAAAACAGGAAAGAGTAAATTTAGTGTTTCTTTAAGACAAAATTTATTAATATTACTTACAAATTACAATCGATGCCTTCACGCTTCAGAGCGCCTCTCTCGCTTTGACTCTTATTAAAACGAGGATAAAAAGTTTAACGCAACCTTATTGAAAGTGGCATAAGAAGCTTCACTACAAAAATAATTCATGGAATATATTTCTTTGAACACGTATATGTAATCTTATCTTCAGTTTTCCTAAATTAATAATATCATCACGGGCTTCCATAGATTTTTTGTAGAGTAAGCAGAATGTGTTTTAATTAATTTTAATATACGTTATCAGCATTTACTTATCATTAACTATCCTTATATCGTTATTAAAAACAATCAACATATGAAAAAAAAAAGCAACAAATAGTACTGATTACGGTCACGTCGCCTGAAAGGCGGCGCTAGTAGCGACTTGTAATAGATGACCCTGTCACTAAATATTAATTTTATGGAAATATAAATATATACAACTTGTTCTGAGTGATGTATGACTTACGACTGAATGTTTGTTTGTAAGAATATATAACAATTTACTTATATGTTCACGCCACTGACTATATCAGTATTAAGATATGTTAATGTAATACTGTCCGTACTTAGAGATGCAATTCGTTGTAAAGGTACTGTAGAAGTACCAGTATATAATTTTCATTATACAATTGTATGTTGTTGGAAACACTCTAGTTTGTAATTTTGAAAATTTGATAAGTGTCTTAAATATTGATACTTTAAAAAAAGATAAGGGAAGAAATAAAAACTACGCCTTACAAAGTTTTCTAAATAATTTCAATTACATGAATACTATGACATTTTCAGGTGGATCCAAACGGCAACACAACGGATGTTCAAGTCAACCGTCAGTCATCACCGTCAGGGGACACTGAGCCTTCCGACCACGACACATGGTCGATAACGCTGGAGCAGTTCCTGGCCACCATACTAGCTGAACCGGCCTTGGAGGAGTTCTTTAACAAACATGTACCTTTACTACCGAGTCTTGAAGCTCTGAGACAGAGAGACAGGTTGCAATCAGTATAGATCATAAATTAACAGAGCATTCCAGTAAAATTGACTTTTTTTATCAAATTTCTTAAACAAAAAATTACAATACTTTCTTATCTTGATTGTTTGACATTTATGTTTTTCATTGACAGATATTGTACATGTATTGACATCGAATTGTTTTATATAAAGTTTGTGAAGCTTATGTGATTTGTTATTAACATACATTCAATCATGATTCCTTTATTGTCGATATATCTAAGTCTTCATAAACTCAATTAATTGTATGTTTGTTTGTAAGTTGATTGCGTGAACATTCCAAATAGCTTTCTAGATATATAAAATAATAAAATCTTTATTCGCATTGAAACTAGCCATACTAGCGATGTACGTAGTTTTATAAAGAGCTAACCAAATTATTTTCACTTTGACATTAACTGCATAGTCTAGTATAAATACAATATAAATAATAAGTACAAAACTAACAACATAGTTATAATCGCTTAGAATTTGCAATATTAATGTATAACAAACATTTTTATATATACTTAACCGACTTTATTTGTAAATGTACTATGTATACATAATGTATTTTTCTTTATTGTCATAAAATATGGTGCTTAGCTTGCTATCTCGAGTAATGCATATAGAATTTAATAAAAGCAATATATTTTTATATGCTTGAATTTTAAAAACAACAGGCAAATGTATATTTATGCTGATGTATTTCAATTAAGAGAATGCTTCATGAATTTGTAACCTTAGTTCTAAGATATATGCAATATGAACTATCTATCGGGACAATACACTTGATTATTAATTTCTAATTGTTATGTTTTATTTGTATATATTTTTTTCAATTAAGGATATACTTTATTACATCGATAATTTTAAGTAAACACATACTTGTTCTACATTTAGGTAAAACTATATTTTAAATCTGTTCTTGTTAAAAGTTCCATAAACTAATACAAGTATGGACCAAACTTAATAATATATATGTATAATTTGTAACGAATTAGTTTAACAAGATTAATTAATTTAAGTTGAAATAATTAAAAATAAACTTTTATTTTTAATTGAAAACTGTTCATTAAATAGAAATACAATAAAGTCCAAAAAAAAATCATGAATGTTAAAATCATAATTTTAAATCAAATTATGTTTACTAATCAGTATCGTTTGTGAACTTTTAAAAATAAACACGTCTTTGTTCTACAAATGTTTTTAATTACATTATAATGTATAATATATTTATTTTGGTTTAAATTTGAGCGTCCAAGCATAGTTTGATTCGACGGTAGCTTTATCAGGAAGCGTTATATATACAAGGCCGCTCTCAATGTTCCACTGAAAACAAGAATAATATATAAAATAAGTATTATGAAAGTTAAATATTGATTGTGACGTCACCAAGACATCATCAATATTTGAAGTCGGTTAAAAGTACCATAAGTTGTAACCACTCGACCTTTACCTTCAAGTGCCCCTCGGAGCCTATCATAGTGACCTCATGTGTCCCGGAGTGTAGATCCTGAACAATGTCACTGATAACCAACAAGTTGTTTTCAGGCCACTTCAATAGAACAGCGTATATAGCTGTTATCACATCATTCTTCCTCGGCCTCGCTGATGGGTGACGAGCGTTGAATGTACTCTTGACACAAGTGTACCAGACGTCCCCGTTCCTGGTGTCGTTCTGGGAATGCCACGGAGAAGTGCCGTAGATAGCTTCACCGTTCAACGACAACCAGTCACCGAGAGCCAGCAACCTCTCCTGGAATATAGCGGCGATGGTGCCTTCCTTCGTTGGTCCGACGTTTATTAAGGCATTGCCTAGGAAAATACATATATGTGACATTATAACATATTTTTTCTACATTTATATATTTTTAGACAAACTTCTAATGTATCAATTTAATTATATCAGGCAATTAACATACTATTTTAAGTATTTATTACAGAACTCTGTGGTAATATGGATAAATATTGAGAATAAATAGTAACTAAATTTCATTCAAACATATTATAATGATTTCCAGACAGACAGTTTTGAATAATAAACTAATATAAAATTAAATAAAAATCTCTGTTATCTAAAACTTATATATAATATAAGAAGTTCATTGGACTACATATCAGTAATAAGGTAATCAAATATTTGTAGATAAATCAAAGTTAATACAATGTGTGTTTTAACTCAATATTATTATTGATAAGACTAGACTTCAATAACATGTTATTTTTTTATTGTAAATATTTTGTTTTATAATAAGTGCCTATATAATTGTTTATGAGTTGGTCAAATTCCTTCTGTAAATATATACATTATATATTTTTGTTGCATGTTTATATATAAAATAATGATATATTTATAATACTACTGGTGTACTGAAATCTTTATTATATGATATAATGTTGATAATGAAAGGATAGAAATTATATTCACCTCCACAGCTGACAGTAGACACAACTTCCTTCAACAACTGTTCAATACTAAGAACATCTTCTATAGCCATATTCCTTCTATAACCCCATGATTTAGAATCCACTGTGAAAGCATTTTCCCACTTGTGATTTTGCAATTTACCTGCAATTAAATTTAATATTATTATAAACCGAAACAATATTCGATAGAAAATGTAATTATTTTATCTTGCCAGGGTTATATCTGTCAGCGCAGTTATAGAAATCTCCATGATGGCATGGTATACCGATACCCCATCTATCATTAACCACAACGGTATCTTTAACCGGACTGTCGTTATAAAGCCAAGCGAGGAAAGAAGTGGAATTCCAGTAAACATCAAACGCCTCCCAATCCCCATCAGACCATATAATTGATGGGTGATAATCATGTACAAGTTGTTTCAAATCCGGCCACAGCTTATCATTGACATAATTCCGAGTTGTGAATAAATTCCTTTTGTCTTCAAGGTATATGGGATTGAACCATTCATACAGGGAGTGGTAAACACCAAACTTCATGTTCTTACTCCTCACAGCATTTGCTACATCTTTGACCAAATCCCTTTTTGGGCCGACTTCTTTTGAATTCCAACTAAATGATCTCTTTGATGGAAATAGAGTATATCCTTCATGATGCTTACTAGTAAGTACTACATATCTGAAATAATCGCCCATATTGTAAAGAAGTAAAATCAAACAAATATTACAAATATTTTTTTAATACTAACTTAGCTCCTGCTTTGTGGAATAAAGATGCCCATTTTTCAGGATCAAAAAATTCTGCTTTGAACATTGGCCCAAATTCTTGGTAAGAAAAACCGGGTGGATAGTTTGCCTCCATGAATTTAACTGTTTTATTGTCTCCACCTGAAAGGATAAACAAATTTGAATTTAATCATGAAATATGTTCTTAATTAAATTTATGATTTATAAAGTTACCTTTCCAATTACTCCAAAACCATTCTGACCCAAAGCCCGGCACTGAGTATAATCCCCAGTGAAGGAAGATGCCGATTTTAGCACGATCAAACCATTCTGGCAAAGGTCGACTATCAAGGCTAGCCCATTTTGGAGCATATTTTTTCCCTTTTACATCTTGAACCGCTTCTTCCCAGCTTCTTATACTTGCACTTATTTGGGAAGTTGTAGCGATTACTACAGTTAATAGCAATAACAATCTCATTTTGCGACTAGTCCTAAAACAGTATATTAAATAGATAAATACATTATGCAATATAAATTTATAGTCTAAAAAAAACTAATATAATATGCACTAAAAAAACAAAAATCTCAGAATGTTTAGAAAAGAAAATATTAATTATATTTTCAAAATTATTTTTTTTACCGCCAAATGATCACATTTAAATTAAATAGTAAACAAATAGAAAATGCAAGATATAATTTGACATTAAAACATTGCCATTTTAGAAAATATATTAGGTATGTGTTTTAATTACCGTGTACACTGTTCGGACGCTCATTACATAGTGATATATGTTATAGGTCAAATGTTTAAGTTTACTATTTATTATCGCAATTACTGGTGGCTCTTATTAGGTAGATAAGTATATATTTAATAGGATTCAGTTCGTCATATCAATATAAATAGTATGGTAAAAAATAATAATATATTTTATTGTTTTATTTATTATAGTTATTTTATAAGTTTGTTTTAAAGAATATATTATGTAGTTACATAAAAATAGCAGATAATTAATCAGCCGAAAATATAAATCAGTATTTTACTGTGCTAACGACCTATTTAATATATATTTATTTTTAATACTGTTTTTTTTTTCGAAACTTTCTTTGTTAAAGAACTAAACCCACAATAACTGGTTTTTTTTTTCAGTCAATTAACTGAATAATAAGTAATCTTGAATTCAAAGAATTTATTACATAGATGTTTAGGTTGGGAGTCGTAAAAATATGAAATTTCTATAACCGTAATAAAAATGAATAATTCGAAACCTTTAGTAGTGACGTACATTATTGCAAAGAAAGTACATACTTGAATGTAATATTTATACAAAACATTTCAAGTTATTTATCAACCTAATTTTGAATCAGATAAACATTTACCAATAAAAGCTATTGTTTTGAAAGGTATGAATACACTACAATTAAACAGCATTTCTAATATTTTTTTAAGATAAAGAATTCTCAAAATAAAATGTTTGTGGCGATTGTATTCTCACCAGATTCTCATTTCAATGTTGAAGTCGTCTAGACAAAAGTAATATAAAAATAAAATAAAGTAAATAAAAGTGGTATAATAAGCCATATAGTTTAACATATAGGTACGAAGTATAAAAAAAATATTATTATGAAATTTTTATTACGCTAAGACTAGATTTGTCTATAATTAAAAACAAGCCGAATAGTGAAGTGAATATGGTGTTCGTTACGCTTTAAAAATATTTAAGATTATTTATAATTATTATTTTATTTATAGAAAAGTTTGTGGCGAGTAATTTTTCAAATAAAAAAATTGTGAATAGAAACAAAGTTGGTAAAGCCTACAAATGGTTTAGCCAATAATGAACCTTAATATTTTCTCGAGGATAATTAATGATAATTTACATTAAAAAATTAAATAATGACACATTACTAACTATTATCGTTTTAAAGTTAATTAAGTTTGATAAGTAACATATCTTGCATTCAACTAAAATTAGTTTCCAAAAAACAAATGTAACTTTTATATTTCTTATGACATTTTCCATTTAGGTACCTTTTGAATAATAAGACTGAATTTAAGATTTATTTTATTAATAAATATTTTATAATACAGTATTTACAAAAGAGATGAGTAATTCTTGCTTAATATTTTAATAAACAAAAAAATAGGCTTTTATTTAAGAACCATATAAATATTATATATTTAATTAAAATTATACAAAGAAATGGAATAAAAAATATTCACTATAACTTTATTTAAAATGCTATATTTATCACAAAATATATGTATAACATATACTCTTATATATACTTACTAGATAACTTGACTGGTTACTTATAAAATAAACCAAATATTACTTGCTCTCTGTTAAGAGTATGTCATATTAACCATTGGTTTAAGACAATAACTTAAGTACTTGCAGCTCGTTTGACAAGCTTAGAATACAATAAACCTATCATATTTAATAAATATTAGGATTTATTGATATAAATTTAAATTTAATGACTAGATTTTTACACACTAACACTATACAGTCCATTACTTATGAGTATTTTGATTCAGAACTAGTTTCCGATTGTATAATTCTCACTTTTACCCACTTCCACATTTGGAAGTGGCTGACATTGCTATTGTTCGTCCACTTTGAATGTTGAGTAATGACAGGCTCCGTTGATTATAATCTCACTGATGCCGGAGGTCGGTGGGGTGTGTGAAGACGACAAGGGCTCTATACTAGCTATGGTACTCATTATTGGTGTACTATAAAGTTTACCGTTGTGTATACTTGATGCATGAGCTTGTGTTGATGGTGCATAAACAGCACAAGGGTTCTGATCAGATCGAGGGTCATTTATCATACTCATTTTAACTTCAAATATAACATCCTGGATTTTCTTTTTAGCGAGCAATAAATTCTTTTCTCCTTTCAGCGATCTCAATTCGTTTGCTATGTATTCACCGAACACTGTGAACTCATCTCTGTTTGAGGAAGGGTACACTATGTCTGATTTGAAGGAATGTAACAATTCTGTTCTGGCTATTTTAGGTGGCGGGGAAATATTATCAAGCTTACAGTCTGCCACAGAGCTGTCAGAGTGTGATTGTAGAGTGCTGTGAATTTCAGAATTATCTTCCTGAAAACAGAAAATAGTATATTAGTGATCAACAATAACGTAACAAGTAAATTTTTAAATATTTATAGGGAACAATAATTATTCTTAGCTATATCCTATCTTGCTCACCGATTGTAAAACTCTGTATGGTTTGTTAGAATCCTTCATAAAATGCAAATATTCGTATGCGTACCAGTTGCTCACATATCTTTCATTAGGCCCCTCCGAGTTAGCTCGAGCTTCCCGCGCAGACTCTCTGTTATACTGAGTTCGGAGATGCTGTATCTTTTTTGTGGCGTCAGAAACTGAAATCCCAAGAACATCGGCTATCCCACGTAATTCCTCTTTCCGTTTTTGTTTATCTCTACGTGTATCACAAAGCGATGGATTCCATATATTAGCATTCAACTGAAGCAATTCGATCAATTTCAAAGTTTTGTCTTTTGACCACTCCATTCCACAATTTTTTCAACCAATCAGCTTGAACATAAACATTGGATTTATATTTAAACAGTAAGTAGCATTTGTCGATCAATCGTTAGATTGTTCACTGAACTACACGCCTCAACAATATTAACATCAACTAGTGAGTGAAGACGCCGACTGGACGGCCGACGCGACGATTGATTAGTTGAGAGAGAGATCCAGTGTTGCCAATTTACATACATATTTTGTTTCGGGTTTCTAAATGAACTTAGATGATAAAGTTTTCAGGAATAATAAATAGAGGGATTTACATATTTTACAAATAACATTTTGTGAGTTCAAATATTCCATACTATACTATTTTATATCAATACAATAGCTGTTACTATATAATAATTTGTCAATTAGACGTCCCGTTACTTGCAGTTTCCTACACTACCTAATAAAGGCCATATTTTAAATAAACAAACAAACCACATTACCTACGTATTGTATATATATAATATCTAATATCATATATTATTATTCATCAGCTATCTCCTTTATCTTTTTTATGCTATTAGAATACAAAACCGAGAGACGTCAACCCTTGCGTATTATCATCCTCTGCAAATGCATTTCCGGCGTTTATAATTTTTGATTTACGAAAGGAAGACACGAATAACTTCGGAAAATTGTGGGGACTTCAGAGTTTGGTTTTTTTCTCAACTAAAGAAATACTAGTTAGTAACAAAGAGTGGAACTTCGCATATTTTATAATCGGTTTATTTATATGCTACCGCAGATTTATATGCTACTGGGGTTTTGGTAATCCATTTGACGTTTGTGATACTAACGTTATTCTGTTCTTAAATGATCATGTAACTAATTTAACTTTATTATTATTACAAGAAACATCATGAATTTAGGTATGTGGCACGCTGTGATATTATGAGGTAACGAATTAACATGTAGGGAGGAATAACTAAATCTTGTATTTGATTGCAGATTCGACCAGACTATTCTTACAACTTGATTAATTTTGTCAGTAAAATTTAAATTGTTAGTTGTTATTTTAATTCTAGGCAGTTCATATCACATTACACGAACATACATGACATTTCAAGGTATATTTTCAATTTAATTGAATCTCGCATCTAAACTGGTAAGTGACAATAATTTATATATGTCTCATATTGTATTGGAACCTAGAAATTTTATTTTTAAAGACATGTTTTATTCTTTCATTTATATGTAAGGAAAGATGAAATCTATAACATTAAATATTTAAGGAAATTATTCTTATACAATACAGTTAAGAGATATTTCATGTGTTATTTAATTTTAATGCTTTACATACAATAGCGATTAGAATTTAAAAAAAGTGCAAACTTTATATATTACTAGCCAGGAGGTTATTTCATATCAAATGAAATCACAGTATCTAATTAATTTGTTTTATTTATTTACAGTCTACAGTGTGAGTACTATCACATTATGAAACAAGTTGTCTAAACTAATATTTACATTATATACAGATGTCTATAAGTGCACTATTTAACACAAACATTGATTTATAAAACAATTTTATGATTCAGAACTAAAATTAATGTTATGGGATATTTCATTATAGACATGTTTTATTTTATTATGCCTTACATTATTATGTTGATATAAAAAAATTATGCTATATATAAATTGAGTTTGTGATGTTAATGTATGAAAGAAAATCATAAAATTGTATTACAAAATTACAGAAAACTTAAATAGTAACGAGCTCACCGCTTCCGTTATAATAAATATGAGGAACTAAATAATAGTTTTAACATTACACAAGACTGTAGGAATACAAACGAATCAGCATCGGTCACAGACTAAATAACTTACTACAGACACTACACGAGTCGGAAACTATCATACATTAATACACTGGCAACCTTTATAATAAAAAAAAAAAGAAAACAAAAACAAGCAGTCAATTTCATAAACCAACAGCATCACTACAATAAATAATGTATTATATGAACTCGGATTACCGATTGAATATAAACAACATAATACAGAAACGGAAATCACAAAGTAACAATAACAGAATATACAAAATAAACTGAAACATATTTACATACATAACGTATAGAGATTCAGGAGTAGACACTCATCATCACAAGGTTACTTTAACTAACACTAAATAAATACTAGCTACACTTTATATACAGTCTGTCTGTCTGTGTGTGTGTGTATGTGTGCGTGTGTGTGTGTGTGTGTCTACGTAATGTCCAGAGGTCGATGCTCCCTCGTCTTGAAGAACCCCTTCTCGGTGCGGCACTCCCTGATGGTGACGGTCTGCAGGTTGACGGTGACGTCCGTGATGAAGATCTGGTCAGCGACGGGTGAGCGCGCCATCCAGTAGGCGGCGCCGCGGCGGGGCGGCGGCGGGGGCGCGACGTGTTCCTTGAGCCAGGGGTCGTCGACCTGTTCGTGTTGGTGTTGTTGTGGTGGCGGGCGCGCTCCTTTCGGCTCGTCCGGCCCGGCGGGCTGCGTGTCGCTCCGCGTGTCGTCGGGCGTGTGTTGGTCGGCCTCCTCGGGTGAGTGCGGCGTCCTCCTCGGCCCCGTCCGTGGCGCGGCCGCCTCTACAGCGGGTGAGGCGGGTGCGGGCGCTCCCCCGTGCGTCGCGGCGGGCTGTATATGTGTCCGGGCGCCGCTCGTCTTCCCAGCGTCGTGTCTCTTGGCGGGCGGGCTCATAGTGATGGTGACCCCTATCTTCCCGGACTCCCTGCTCAGCACCTCGGCCTTCCTCTTGCCCCCCGCGCCCCTCTCCTCGGAGCCGCTCCTCGGCCGCGTCTCCCCCGGCGACTGTTCCCTCTCCCTCCTCCTCCCCGCCTTCCTCATCTCCTCCCCCCTCTCGAAGCTCTGTATCAGTCTCGGGTCCAGGATGTTCTCCTCTGGTTCCCACGTGTTGTGTTTCGGTTTCCATCCCTTCCACTTCACGTAGTACTCCACTTTGTTCTGTAACACATGATAGTATATTAAATATTGTTATGTTACATTCACATACACATAAAAAAGGGATTTGTATTTTTTTTTGTTCGTATCTCCGTAACGTCTATTCAGCTCCGAGTCCACAATATACTTCCATACAACGTGCCGTATAAAAAATATATATAACAATGTAATAATTATTTAGTTGTCAGTTTCGTCTGTCGGTACACCTGCTCCGGACAGCTGGCGACTATCTCCCCCGGGATCGAACCCGGGACACGCCGCCAGTATACCGTTCGGAACTTTCACTTCACACCAAAAACATGCTTAATACAATATAAATAAAGACTAATATCGTATGTGAGCTCATATATCTTTTTTTTTTTGTATCAACATGTGCATCGACACGTTACTAGCACGGACGAATTATATTACAATATCGTCGCCGGGTTCATTATTGACATGAAATTTATCATCTGATGATAAAATAAAATAATTCATATAAAACGACTAACATCTTACACCTGTGGTGACGCGAATCGCTTTACAGCGGTGTAAAGCGATGTTTATTACTTTTGTGATATAAGCGAATATGGACTTTATCTGTATGTAATAGAGTAGTATATCGCATGTGGGCGGGTGTCGTTTAGGGCGTTCCTGAATCGACGCCTGTTATTGGTTTCAGTGTAGAAGGGTGACTCGCCGGTAGAGCGCGCTGACTTTGTAATGACGTACAACTTAATAATATAATTAACGAGATCTATTGATACATAGAAATAAATCTATTTGATTTTGTATACGTGTAAATTAATCTGAATTTCAAAGAATCACTACATTATAGAATTTGTTGGATAGCTTAGTTGTAAAAATTATGAGTCATTGCTTTTTGATGTTTACCGATATTTTATTGATTTGTCGTAAGTATAACAACTGTTTTTTTTTTTGTTGTATAGAACTCATGATATCTCAGATTGTCGCGTGTATCCTGTTAATTGAAGTAGGTACCTTAAGGTAACAAAGGTAAACTTTCATGTCGTCTGCCTGTGAACACGGTTGCTGTAAAGTGTAAAGGAACCGAAACGACGGAATCATATAGAATACAGGTACAAAATAATGAAAACAATCGTAGTATATTCGAGAAAGGTTGGTTTCGCTTATATGGTAATAAATTTGTTTTTGAGTTCCATTGGCATGCTGACTTCACGAAAGATTCTATCGTCTTCGAGATCAAAGAAGGGCGACAAGGTAATACAATACAAAAAATAAGAAAACACGCTTGTTGTTTTAATAACAGCATGACCTATACAATAGAGACTGTTCACTGTAGTAATGAAGACTTAAATTAGCATAACATACATAAAATTAAATAAAAAAACAATTACTACAAACTAAAACCAGTCTCGAAACTAAACAAAAACACTGAACAATGAAAAAGAAAAAAAACGGATCATTGGGACGTACGGACAAGGTGCTGTCCAGAGGCTGGGCTCTGATTGGTCGGCGGGCGGGGCGGTACAGGTCGATGGGCGGGGGGAGGGTGGAGACAAGCGTCCCGCACGCCCCGCCCCCGTCCCCCGCGCTGTACTGAACATACCCACAAGGATAGCAGTGCGGCCCGCCTCCCTCTATGGCCAGGTGATAAGGTCGAGTATCGTGTGAACGGGGCGTACCAGGTGATGGGCGGATCATAGACGCCAATTAGAGTGGATGAGAGTCGTTAATGAGTTCATTATAACTATTATAATGATGATGAATGTTGGGTGGTTTTTGTGTCATATACATACACACATTATGTGGTTGAACAGACCGCGCGGGTTAATGCGATCGACAAATTACTTCTAAGTATTTTTCGAGTCTATATAAGTTTTGTGAGTAACTGAGACTAAATATCTTTGACGAATACATAATATAACATAAACAGAGTCATGGAGAGACTTCAAAAAGATTTTACTGTAAAAATTAATCAATAAACTTCACAAGTTCCCTTATTGTTTTAATCATCATATATCCTTATTCCTAACACAATTTTCCGTCACCCGTGTTTCTTTTAAAATGTATTATTTTCTGTTTTATCTTTTCCCCTTAAATATTGGACTCGTAATAGAAACAATACAAAATCCCCGAGGTCATTTGTGCGTCGGCCTCCAGACCAGACATATTTTTATATTCACGTAGTGATGATAGAGCTTACGGTGCCTTGGGAAACCAACATCCCCAAAGACCATGCCATCAAGGTCAATAAGTATTACGAGCTCACTAACGAACTAACTCGAAATAGTTCGTCGTTGATTTGTACGCGGTAGAAGTGGGAGCGAATGGTATAACAGCGAAATTTCTCTACAACCTACTAAAAGACTTGGGCTTGTCCAGAACTAATTAATGCATTTTAGGAAAGTATTTTAAAGGCAGCTCTAGTAGGTTCTTTTCAAATTTGGTTAGGTAGAGAGAGGAGCTTGGACAGTGGAGGTGAGCGTTTAACGCGCGTTAGATAGGGTCCCTTAAACCTACACCTGGGTCGCAAGTCACAGTCACTGTTGAAGCTCCTCTCACTGTAACGATGGACCAGACACCCGCACCGTGAATACATAGGGTGATGAGAGGTTTCGTCTCATTTTCGAACTCTATCTAGCCGTCGAGTGGTGACGTCACTAGTTAATATGAACTAATACATCGGTCCCGGTATTTATCCCCGAGGGACATTCATTGTACCTATTGTACGTAAATGTATATAGCACGTATATATTTATATATTCTACTAAGTACCTATACCTACCTATAGATGTACGCGTCATGTTTTCTTGATAAATCAACATACACATCCACGTTTATATTAATATATATTTAATATCTTTTAAATTTTAATCATTGAACACTTGTCAATCACTTATGTATGGATGGGAAATGGGAATAGTTTTCAAGAACTCTTATGTATGTAATATTTGCATAGTGTTTCATACAAATTTGTTATACCTATCAATGTGTATGTATCGATATTCACATCTCGTCTGTCCGTGATCACAATCGCTGCAAAGTAACTGATTCGTTGGGAGTATGTAATTACTTTATAATAATGGAAAACGCGGAATAAATCCCTATGTATTAGAATAATTTCAATTTATATATTATTGTTTTGCCACAGTATCTACTGGTCTACAGATACTTATTAGTAGATATGTTTACTAGTACTATACTGTCATCTAAACATATTTTTCTCTTAATATGTTAGTCAAAATCTCCTAACATCATTATATAGGTATATGAAACATTTTATATTAACTAACACTTCTAAACAAGTATCATAAAATAATATACAACGCTTGGTTTTCTCGTTTATTTACGAATTCTATCAAACACCATTTTTTCGACGGACAGACGAGATCTGTGTTACATTTGTATGAAATTACATATCTATTATGTTTTACAAACGTCTAATCTTTAAAATCGTAGGTAAATATTTATTCAGTTAGTTAAAATTTCACTCGTATCATTAGAGAACTTTAATTAAGCGATATCTCATTCATGGATATGATTCTGGCAATAAAATATTGGATCAAGTCGATGTTTTCATTCAGCCAAGTTATATGAGGTGAAATTTATCAAAAGAAATTTATATCGAAGTAACAGCTTCAATTTTTAACCCGAAAAACGGACCCATGACTCAAAAAAAGGTTACCTATTTAAAATTTCAACCCTGAGAAGATAAAAAATTTAAAGGTGCATCTCCTAGTAATATATTTATCTATGTTTTATATTTGTATGTTTATGTATTATTTATGTGTTCAATTTTACGAATCGTTCACACTTACAAATTTACACATTGACACAAAAAAATGTGTTTTATTAACAATTACCTCTATTCTTGAATATAATATTTAATATTACAATACAAGTAAAGTCTAGAAAGTACTTTATCATCTCTAGGATATGGAAACAAGCTTATTACAGATGAACTTTGATAAGTTAAATATCAAAAAATACTACATTTAAATCAGTTAACTTGTTTTTCAAGTTAAACCATAATATTAGTTAATTTTAAACATATTCGGGTTAAATGTAACCTTTTAATAGATATAATTTATTCTTGTTCATTTCTCAGTCGCCCGTAAGCCCGCATGTTTAACCGTGATATACATTACTTTAACTATCTTAATAATTCGTGAAGATCATGTGTCAACTATATCGGCGGAGCTTGCATGAATTAAACTCACTCAATTTAACTGATTTGTATAGAAAATATACAAAAAATTGTTTTTATTTTGTATATTTTCATTATCATTTTGTCTTAATTTAAACAATCATTGAATATTTTATATCAATATATCGAGATTTGTTTCTTAATTTCATGATATCTATCTGTATGTAGTATGTTGTAGAGACTAGAGATGTATCTGTTCAGATATTAACCAGTATTGGAGACGAGCCAGGAGTGTTCTACTACGGTGAATTTTATAACCGGCACTAACACACATACATACATATTATATAGTAAGTACTTATAGCGTTTGGTTCCGTATGTTTATTTCTATGGAAGCGAGGGTCCGTAATGGAGTGTCCCTGGAGGACTGTGGATGTGAATGATTTATTTTGCAGTTTATTATAATAATATTATTATGTTATTTCTTTTTGGCTGCCTCAGTGTATTGTAATAGATGAAACGAGTATTTAATAGGAATAAAATATATATTTCTCTCTAATAGGTACGTAAAACCAATTTTATTTCTAGAAATTTCGAGAGACAATATCGTTTCTCTATTGTTTTATTTAACAAAGTAATTCATTCGACAATATAAGCGACCGTTTTCATGAATGTAATTTAGACGAGATTTAGATATGATTTGAATTTGGAACGATTTATACATTGGACGGGGAGGACGAGAGAACGAACGACTCATTCATACAACAAATACATTCATTCATTCAATCGAATGGAATAACTAAAAATTCATTCTTATCTGTATTTAAACAAAAAGTGAGCGGAACAACTTTTTCTATTTCTCGTGTTTAGAATTCCACAGTTGTATCGATAAATATTCATGGCGTCACTCGGACCTCCAGTGTGTATGTACGTGACTCGTCCATCTCATAAACTATTCTCATGTTTATTTCTCTATTATTATTTTTTCCGTATCTTGTGCCAGCTATTTCTTATATGAATGCCGATATAAATTGCATCGCTAATTAGACTTATCAGATAATTGGTAGATGAATGGGAAATAATTAATACAATAAAAAAAAAACATACAACCCCTTGGCTATATCCGCGTATTCTTTTGTAACATAAGTACCAGGAGAACAGAAATGCTGAAGAGTTGAATGTAGCTGTGTATGTGTCCGTCATATATACGCGTGTGTGTGTGTATGTGTGTTGTGGTATGTAAGACAAGGACGGCTAGTGACTAGTGAGTGGGACGAGACGAACGACCGCGCAGACGCTGTCAGTGTCAGTCTTCACAGAGATGTCGACGGGGATGGATGTGTCGCTTACATTGATATATGTAACTACATCCATTACGATGTACTTTATACTTTATGTTGACAAATTACATTGAATATTTATCTGATATTCCTTGATTCGTAATAGACATAACGTAAATCTGATTTACAACTATAAATTCACTCGTAAGTTATAAGTACAATTTCATTAATATTCGAAAATGTATGATGAACGTACAGACGGAGGGACAATTGAGTTTATTTATTATAAACGAGCGACAGTCAGCGAGTGATCGGAATGCATCTTAAAGATGTGACTGATAACATTGAGTACCTACTGACTGAGGCACAATAACTGAGTATATTAAGTTGATATAAACGTTGAACTGTTTGTTTACGTTAAAATACTTAGTTATAGGAGAGTAACTACTATTTGACCGAGAGTTAATAAATGTAATGAGGTATAGTAATGAACAGTTAGGAGACGACGCGTTCCGTCTCAGTCGTTATTGATATGAGAAAACGTCAAGTTCGATAACGTATCAATGTACAATATATGAATGTAATGTAATTTTTCCATTAGAATACTAATATAATCGTTATAAAGCGCAGTTTTATATGAATCAAACGCAAGTATTAGGTAATTGTAGTATACTTTGTACTAACAAAATAGATTAGTTTACGAAGATTTTGGTCGAGACTTCATTATACAACTAGACTAATTAAACGTTCCCCTTTCACACATCAGAAGGACGTGTGTGTTTAAAATCAGTTAATGATAACGTTTAAACTGTCCGTAGTTAGACGATAAATCTCACAGTCAGGGGTAGGTACTGTTGGTAAGGCAGAGTCGCGCAAATTACACTAGTTCCACGCTAAGTGCAGCTTACTTGTTCTATTCACAAAGGGCTCCTCTCTCCTCAGAACCCCTTTATTCGCTGAGCAAACACTTGTATCACGGCCAAACGAGACTAAATCCCCACGGCTATAATTGAGGATTTGGATTTTAATGTTTAATGATTCATAACCAACATATATTTATGACTTGAATATATTTTTACTTGAAATTATCTATGGCATACCTAACGATTTTATCTGTTATCTGTCCATAACAGAGCAAAAATAAATGGCAGCGTATTATTGCAATGTCTGTTCAGTATAATCCTTAAATAAATACGTTAATAACTCAATTAAGGGGATCAGCCCGCGGCGGGATGTGTCCCGATCATCGGCTCGGTACAGATAAGGAAGAAAAAAAAACACAATGGACGGGTGCGTCTGACACCAGGGGCGGGGGGAGATATTATAACAAATACTCCCCGATATACCCTGACCCTTAGAACGAGTAGCGACCCTTACAACACTGATTACATTCCGACGATATTTGAACATCGCTATGTTATTAAAAATATTTTTTAAATATGGAACTCTTCACATCACATATCTGTGACGTCACTAATTATAGTTCGAAATTCAAACTGCTATCGCCTGTATCATCGTTAATGACGATCAATAACAATTCTTATCTAAATTGGATATACATCGGAAACGTCTTGGAAACATTTTATTTACATAATAATGTGTGCGGTGTAACGGCCGCCCGCGTCGAGCCCACATCGACATCGGCATTATAATAATGACTGCAGCCCGTCTGATGCGCCACGTTTTTATTACGCTCCTGCGATCGCTTTGGCGCCGAAATGTTGCGAGGCGTTGTTCATGCGAATTAAAAAAAGAACACTAAATATGGAATGACATTTAATAGAAATGCTATCTTATTGTGATAGTTTAGAATCTAAATTTGTTTGTCGTCGGTCGTATGATAGTTGTTCGGTGCTAACGGAACGCCGTTAGCGTGTGTGCGTGACGACAATGGACGTCATTCATTGTGTGAGGGCTTGCAATATGACGTTTTCCCATTCAATAGTTTAATATTCTATGCATACTCGTACTAGAAGTATTCTAAAACTTAGGGGGAATTATTCACATAGGAACTTTTTATATCCAGGGGTGACCGTATCTACCTATTGTATATAAGTTCTCGCTTGTAATTAATCCCGTGGTACAGAACATCGTAAGTCATGGAGTAGATTTCATATATTAGTTTTCTCATATTGTATATGAGTTCGCAGATTTCATTTTTGATATATTTTATTTTCTCTTATAAAGATTATTACATGATAACATAATAATATCTTGGTATTCTCCCAAAATTTATTTCAAAAGTCGAACAATGTAGATTGTAAAGAATTCAAAAGTATTAAGAAATAAAAAAATATACCGTAAATAAGTTTTAAATCCTTAACCGACTCCATTCACTCTTGTTCCCCTTTATTTTTTATTGTGTTAATGTATTGGGATGTATAAAAATGCGACAATGCTTTTTGAGACGATTATTTTTAGAAAATTTGGTAGCATTGTGTTACTTCCGAGCGTCAAATTGACGATATCCGCATTGAACAAATTATTTACGAGAAATCAAAATTCAAAGATTCTTTTAGCAATATGGAAAAAGTATTAATTGGCTATTCAAGATTTTAGCTGGGTCTTAAAATTTGAGAATAGTTACTTAATTCTCTGAATCGTCTTCGATCAGTATTAAGTGCCATATGTTGATCTTTTTTTATGTCAACGGGTCCAATATATCGAAAAAATATAGATTACAGTGCGTTTATTGCGTTAATATTATCAAAAATTAAGAATAGCGCCATCTGACCAAACATCGCTGAATTATTTCGTCAGCTCTTCTAGTTCCGCAGCGTTCGGATATTGGTAAAGTTCATATCAAATTCTACGATCCTTACGTCAAAAAGAGCGACAGCGAGAAAGATTTCATATAATATTAAGTTATAGAAAAACCATTTATATTAGTTTTTTAAAGGAATATGAAAAATAAACAGTACAATGTTTACGAGTTGTAAAGCAATTCAGAGCATTTTTGCTTAGCATGGTCTGCTCGACGCTGATTGGTCGCCGGTAATGGCGGGGAGCATGCGCTCTCGACGTGGGTTCGGTCAAAGCCGAATACTGGCGCGTTTACTTCGAGATACCAGGGCCACAGCGCTTTGAAGGAGTTCCTTTAACTGTGGCTATACCACGAGGGAATTTGAACCTTAACTCAATTGAGTAAAACAGAAATTTATATGACATGTTCCTTCGTTAAATGTCAAGCCATTCCGACCGATAACAAGGATTCTTACATACTTTGAAAAATAGCTTCTATGTCGTTTATCTACGGTTCAGTTTTGCCTTTATCATGTTTTGCCGCGCTATTAAGTAGTTTCGTAAATTTGACAAGGCGCTAGGGAAGACAGTCGGAACTTTTTAGTTGCGGCTTGACAATAAATCATTACGCTGTGGTATCTGATTAAATTATAAGGATAAAGAATATTAGATTATTGTTGAAGGGAGAGTGAGTTTGTTATTTTACATAATATTAGGGTTTTACTAAGAGTGTATGTTATGGTTAAATATTATAGTTGATTTTGTAACAATGTGTAGTTTTAGGAGGAATTTAATAAGTAGAACGTATTCGAGAGTAATCTTCAGTCGTAATATCGTGAGGCGTGACACGTTGAACACATGCCGTGTTACTATGACATTAGGTTCCATTGGAGTCGTGCCATGTGGTAACGCACTTGCCTCTAGTCTCGACAGTCGAGACGTCTTCATCATTGATCAGAACGTCTCGATGTCAATAGTTTATAATTTCCTAGTAACAATAACATTAAATTGGCTGGATACAAACGAAAAGCACCAAAAAACAGATGTCACAAGACGTAATGTCTTTCCCGATCAATAGATGGCGTTACGCGTCAACTTCGAACTATAGAAATTGTTCGTTTTTCTATATTGATATAAATTAATATGAATTATGTATTAAATATTTTTATATACACATATTAATGTACGATTACACTTATTTTGTGAAGTATGCTGCTAATAGAATTCTTCGTACGTTTAATATTTATATTTATATGTATTTATGTTTTATATATTTATTTTATAATCTATTATATACTAGTTTTTGCCCGCGACTTCGTCCGCGTTCGTTTGGTCAAGAGTAATATATGTAGGTGTAGCTGACCAGGCGAACTATATTCCGACTTAGAGGCCATAAATAATCAGGTTTTTCCTGTTTCAATCAAACAGAATGATTGACATATTAGTTAGTTGTCAAATCTAATGTCAAAAAAAACGTTTGCATGGGAAATAGGAAAGGGCTATTTTTAGGGTTTGCCCGGCAATTATTCCAATTTTTCTCACCTTTTATACCTTCCCTGAACCTCCACGAACATTTCAAGACTAAGATAAGATAAATCCATTCAGCTGTTCTCGAGTTTTAGCGAGACTAAGGAACAGCAATCCATTTTTATATATATAGAAGATTATAGCCCGTATTAAGTAGTGACGAGAGCGCCACTTAGCTTCCATCTATGGTTTTTAAACTACAAGTGTGGCTTACCTGTTGGTTTATACTTTGAAAAGAAGTATACATTCTAACAGAGACTAAATTACATTACACGAAAACTGGGACTAAGAAGATATTGAAGTTTATAGCGAGGCAGACGGACACTTTTATAAACACATATAAATTTCATCTCATGGCAGTGTGTGTCGTATTTTAAGAGATCACATTAAGATAAGCATGTGTTAAGTCTTCTGTGCCATGAAACACCCTTTATAAAACTATAAGGAAGCACGTGGGTCTATTTAAAGATTCACATGACAAAAAACATAACAAATTTAACACAATTTCTTAGTATTTTTTCTTTTCTCTGAAGAGTATTATCTTTAAAACTATGTATGTCGGTCTTGTGATAGTTCGGAATAAATATACTGTATGAAATGAGTTTAAAAATTTAATTAGTTAATATAACTAAGTCTACATGAATTGTAGAGAAATTTCCAGAATACTTTCACGTTAAACTAATTTTTTACTAAAACGATTCTGAATGTTATCTGTCGAATGGTTTGTTATAACCGTATCTTCCATTATAACTGGTACATATAATATAACTGAATTATTATGGTTATTTATAAAGTTAGGGATACAGTATAAAAGTTTTAAGATCAACAAAACCTTGAGTACTCTATAAACTAAAAACAAACCACCTAGGATTCAGAAAAAGCAATATATAATAAAAGCACACACAGTATACGGATTAAACAGTTTGTTTACATGCTTGAACTATAGATATAGGACTTGTATGAGTGATAACACAATAAACAAACAAACAAACAATCCTTATCAAATATACATAAAATATAAAAAGCCTTACATATAGTTCTAAATACTACAATAACTGAGTTAGTAACAAGCTTCACGAACACCAAGTAGTTACTAGTTAAGAAGACATCCCCTCAACCGAGTGTCTGATGAAACTTGTTTATCACAATTCACTATGCCAACAGAAACATCTTAAGGGTATATTAATGAAACGCACATCTGAAGCATGACCTCAATGTGAGCTCGCGTTAGGGGACTCCGCTGTTATAAAGGAATAAACATGCCTCGAAAGGAATCCATTGAAATACAGCTGCTGACACAATGCTCGGATTACATACACGGAATCCGAATTAATATACCCACTGCATGTTTATATCCGCGGAGCATTGTTCACTGTGTGTTAGGATGCAAGCTAAGCGTTAAAATTGCGAAACTATAACACAAAAGCGAATCAAATATATTAGGCGGGCGATATGTGATCTCGGGTTTCGTAAGCACGTTATGTACACTGTGGCTGGATGCCGTGTCGCAAGGAGTCAGACTCACCTTTCTAGTCCTCTTCTTCATGATGCGCTCAGCGGCGTACACGCTGTCGCCGAGTTCCATCTTATGCATCCCCAGTTTGATGAGAGTTCCTTCTAACAGTCAAATCCAAATGGTACACTGCAATCCGGTTAGTGAGATCCTATCACTGCATCCGAACCGCGCACCGCAATCCGACACACATTTCTCTTGTCACAATTCACTCGTTATACGGTCACTGTTCAAAGTTACCCGCGCGAACGACGCCGCTGTATCGTAACACGGCGACACGTCCTCTCCCTTCGAACTCGCAGCTGAGACTGAGGCGGGGGGAAGCAGCCCCGTCCCGCGCGCCCCTCGACCTCACGCCACCGAACCCCGACAGAGCGCGCCACGCGTTCACAAACACCCGCTCGATATCTGTAAACAAGTTTTATTTTCATCAACACATTCTGTTTTCAGACCTTTTTGCTTATATACCGACGTTATGAATATTCTATGGGAGCATACCACACATTCGATACGTACGTTAGAGGCACTGCATATCGTAACCTTTATATAATATAATATATATGTACATACATTATGTAAACATTAGTGATATTGCAGTCGGATCATATGTGGTATAGGAATATCTCTTAAGACACGTACCTAGTCTAGCTAGTACCTAGCGTTCATAATAAAAGTTGTAATTAGTTGTGTGATCATATGTAATAGTAAATACATCTCGTCTCGTATGTCGTGTGTCGTGTCGTAGTGCCATCGTATCGCGGCGCCGTGTTCGGTGGAGGCACGTGAACCGCGCGAGGTTGCCGCTCCGTGCGCTCTGTGAGAGTAAGACCGATCGCCTACCCTATTATTTACGCGCGACGTTGCCGACCCGACCGGCCTACGTTCATTACGAGGACACCGCTGTTACGTTCGATCATACGGCAACGAGAATCAACGAATACAGAAACACTTCTCATTCGCTTATCGTTATAATTACAACTATATTAACTATACTATTATAATGTTGTATATTATTACTATAATAATGACAATTACCTTAATGTATCCGACGAGAATTCACTGGCACTGTTTAAATACAAATTCCAATGAATCGATCACTAATAGAGTCTATATTCGGTGAGAGTTAGTTTCTTTTTTGTGTGTTATAAGTGTACCGGTCGGCACGTCCGTCCCGCAGTACGCACGTTTAGTAACTAAGTCATTTTCGGTCGTGTCGAATCGGTCCGTGTCTCGTGTTTCGGTCGTAGTTCTGTGTGTCGGCAGCTCGCTCGTCATTGGGTGCGGCGGCCGGGCGGCGGTGGACGCGTCCTCGGAGCCAATCAGGAGCCCCGGCGCCGCGCCCCGTCACCAGCCGACCGATGTGCGAGGCTCCTTATAGTTCCCTCTCGCTCGGAACACTTCACCGCGCTATCTGCGTTTTATTTTTTTGTGACACGCCGCTAACTATTCACATAGAACAAATGAACGGACATTTTGGATTCAATGCGACGCTGGGCCCGGATGCGGGCGACTGGAGGATTTATTTATTCCGTGGGGTGATATCACGTGGCCCGATACCAGATAAACACATGGCTTGAAACACGACGGCCTTGGAGAGAGTTGAACACTCGCAGACTGTTAGATGAATAGGAATGAAACGTTTATCATTGAAGGGGCCCAGATATTGTAATTTCCTAAGACATGGTGGCACCTTTTCTGACGTGGATGAGGTGATTGAATAAATATATAATGCGGTTCTCAAACAGAACATTAAACGCTGTCGTTACAGAGGTTGAGTCGAGCCTTTGTTAATGGTAGTAACTACATGGGGATATCGCGATGAAGAACACTAACAGGTTCTTACGAGACGATCCTCATGGACTATCTTCATAAGAAGTTTATCTCAAATAACAGTAATATTGACTTTGACTTGACTTAATAATTCCTATATGATCAATTTTGTTCTAGCTACGCAAGCGGTCTCAAGGCCCACTTCTTCGCTCTACCTATGGTCATCTGTGAAGTGTTGGTTCCCTTAACAGGATAGGGTGTAGGAAAATGTAGAGTCGTCTGCCGGGGTGACTGATAAGTCGAGACGGCTATACGAAAAATACAAATAAAGTTGAGTTATGGAACCAAAGAGTTTGTAGCTAGTAGATAGATAGAAAAGACATAAAAGTGTTCCGTGAAAGAAACCGCCACAAACTTATTAGCATATCTACTAGCAATCTGAGAACCTACATCTTATAATATTAAATTGCAAGTAATTGCAGCTGAAGATGGTTATACTATGACATCATTCGGTTTTTTCCTAAATACTAGGTACGTGTGTCATGACGTTTTTAAATAGATTTAACTTATTTAGCTCTAGCCTCTATCTTATAACGAGATTCCCTCTACTCTCTAGATCGATTCAGAACTTTTTATACTTAATATGTAATTTAAAATCAGGTTCACAGACTATTTGGCCTGGGGTCGGCTTGGTAACCCGGCTCCAGTGAAAGCCCGGGCGATCCTAATTGCCGGGATCGCCCGGGCATAAACGTAATATAGCCCGGGCAGTCGTTGGTGTACCCTGTCGCTGACAGATCCGGGGTACACCGACATAGCGGCCGATGGCTTTTGCAGTGGTTTTAGTGAGTAGGGGCCTGCCCAGGCCGAGCCTCACACATCCCTTCCGGCCCCACCAAGGCCGGTTGGACGGCTCGTAAAAAGAGTTTCCCAGCGTCATAAAAAAAAATAGGTTCACAGACTATTTCCATATCGGTAGTAATTATAAACTATACCTAAGACTTGGGCCTGTCCAGAACCAATAACAATTTATTCTTGGAATTTACTTCGAAGGTAGCCCTTGTAGGTTTTTTCCAAATTAGGTTAAGTCGAGAGTGGATCTTGGACGGTGGAGGTGAGCGTATAACGCGCATTAGATAGGGTCCCTTAAACCTACACCTGGGTCGCAAGTCACAGTCACTGTTGAAACTCCTCTCACTACAACGTGATGGACCCGGCAGCCGCACGGTGAATACATTGTATAATGAGAGGTTTCGTCTCATATACTCATACTTATTATTATTGGACGGAATTTTTGTTATTTTATTCAAAATGGCGGCGTGTCCAGATGTATTTGCACAGATGACATCGGATATATTTAAGTACAAATACTATTCACTTCAAATTAACGGTACGGAAAGTGTATTTTATACACCTATGTGTATATTCTGATGACGTTTTGTCAAAGATAGCTACTATTTTTTTTTACACATATTGATTTACTTTGAATGGCGTGTCTTCCGATCCTCGATAATTAAATAAGTACCGAGATGTATCGGAGATATTCATATTTAAAAGTATGTATCAGACTGTCCTGTGAGCTTGAATGATATTTTAAATGAAGGATAATAAAATCTACAAACAAATAAACCGGTAAATGTATCGCTGATCACAAAATATTTGCTTATTTGGAAATATATAGCTTCTTTTTAGAAATCTTTTTTGAATTTCGAATACAATCAAATTTTAAAGAACATTTTTTTTAAATCAAGCATTCAAAATAAGAACTTAAAAATTATGACATAGCTTTCCATGGTATGACATCAGAATCATTTATCGTAGAGACAATCCGAAACGTATTTACTAGTAATAATTGATCGTATTAAAAAGTAAACCAATAAAGGTAAGTACTTACGTACTTACCAATACTGAATGCACCTAATAGTCTATGCTGATGAAATAAAATAAAACAAAATAAAATTCTAAAACATCAATGTCGGCAGAGTAGGTGAAACCTTAGGCAGTTTGTTTTTAATAAAAAAAAGTGTCCGCCATTAAAGATGTTGTGTATAAGGTCTCACTGGGGTGACTGCAAAACGATCAATCGCGATAAATATAATGATTATACAATGTAAATAATAATTAAAAGGATTCATTTAAATCATTATTTAGTATTCATAAAGTATCCTACTATCTTACATGGTTGAATCGATTCAAGTGATTTCTCTTTTTTTCCCGCGATATTTTTATTTGTTACGTCAGTTTGATTTTTTAAAGTACTAAATTAGAGTTTAGCCGTCTATAGAGTGAGGAGCTAAGACAGAATTTTACGCTCAAGTGCTTCAGAAAACGAAAGGTTAGTTGTTTAACTTTTTATTTTAGTACTGTTTTTTATATAAGGTACCTATATTCCTATAATGAGATCTGACACTTTCGCGAGTATCATTTAAATAAAACGAATGTTCTCGATTCACTACGCGTTTTAATAATAATTCTCATGTCGTTGGCCCGTGATCACGGTTGCTGCAAATTAAGCGAATCGTCAGGAGTATGTAGTTTTAAAATAATAAAATAACGCGTAGGGGAGCGGGGGGCACGTTGTTGCAGGGGTAAGAAGTTACACGCATTTTTTACCGGGATGTTCAACTCTTTGGTAGACGTAAGTGGACTGATTTGTTTTCTTATAACATCGTGCGTTGCAAAAAAACAATCAGGGACCCGAGAAGCGGCAAACTGTTAGGTTTTGTGCACGTGTCTCGATTTCCATCAAGTTCGTAACAAAATCTTTTACGAAATTTTTGATTCCTGCTGTCTATATTTGTTATTCTCTAAATTCTTTTCGCCTCGAACGTTCATAATGTATCAAGTTTTAATTTGTAATAGCGTTTTATTCTGCTATTGATATCCATTAATGGCGGCTTTAATTTTAATTAAAAAACACACCCCCGAAGCTGTAACAACTTGCCCCAAGTCAGGGGTAAGTTGTTGCAATCGACTTATTTCATTAATTCTCTATTTTGGGAAAAATTACGTAAATTTTAATATTTTTCCAATTCTATTCTACTAGCTGAATAGACACACTAATGGTAAAAGCAATCAAATGTATACATTATTTGATAGCTTTTGTGATATTAACAATTATCTAAAAATTGTAACAACGTGCCCCCCGCTCCCCTACTCGAAAATATTACGTTTATATACCTAATATACATTTAACATTACTAAGTAAGTAAATACTTTTTATGCTGTCTTAATTCGCACTGGAATTGGTGAATATTTTGCCAATGTCTAATATACAGTATATGTACTACTGTTTTAAAGACTTGATTTAAGTAAATAAGGTAAGGTAGTATAAGGTAGGATGTTATAAAAAAAGTTGCAACATTAAGTTATTTTAGCCATAGTTTATACATGTTTACTGTATTTACTTCTATTATTGATTAAGCGGACATTGTAATCTATACTTAATATTATAAAGCTGAAGAGTTTGTTTGTTTGTTTGAAAGCGCTAATCTCCGAAACTACTGGTTCGAATTGAATAATTCTTTTTGTGTTGGATAGTCCAGTTATCGAGGAAGGCTGTAGGCTATATAACATCACGCTACGACCAAACGGAGCAAAGATATAGTGGTAAATGTGTCAAAAACGGGAGAAATTATTTCATCTTTGAAGCCTTCCGTTGCGTGCGCCGTGAAAACGGTTCAAGATACACAAAAAATATGTATGAAAGAATAATAGCTCTTTTAATGATCTAAAAAACAGTCCGCGACAGTATATGTCTATCTTTTAAGATTAACTCACAAAAATCGTTTTTATGGTACCTAATTTGGTCGAAATAATTTGTTTAAGTTGTATTAACATAATGATATTAATCTTTATTTAAATAAACAAATAAATATGTTGTTGGTTAAGAGTACTTCATTATTAATTAAAAAAAACGTAGATTTTATCCTGAAAATTCTACGGGAACTCGACCACTCCGAAAACCCCTTCACGAACGGGAACTATGTCGGAAGAACCAAAAATCTGTCGGAAGTAACTATTCCACGCGGACGAAGCCGCGGCAAAAGCTAGTATTGAAATAAAAACACGTTCATTTTGAATACTAATAAAGGTTTTAATAGTTTATATTACGTATCCGATTAAATAATTGAAATCTTTTGGGATTGGGATACTCCCGTGCAATGTTTTTTTACATATTTTTAGGTTTCAATTCGATTGTTGGTGGTAAATAACTTTTATTATTTATAATATTTAAGTTACTAATCGATTTTGTCTATTCTCTTCGCATTCGATGTTATTAGTTTTTTATATATTCAATGACGAATATCGTCGAATTAACGGAAGAAACAGAATGATACGAGGAAGAGAAAATTTCTACCATATTGAGTCGTATTAACTTAAAATGGTATCAGATTTATACGACTAATCACTATATTTTTACCTATTTAGTAATAGGTAGTACCTATATGTTTTAACTTGTAACTTATATGTAAGAAAGTTGTCATTGTGACCGCAGCCTTATCCGCGTGACGTCACTCATGTGTCCGTCTGTTAGTGTCAGGTTCTTGTTC